ACCCCCGATCGCCCCTGTGCCCGCCCCTCCGCTCAGGGCCCTCCACCCTCCACGATCCCCCAAATCCCCCCAGACTTCCCTGGATCTCCCCAATGCCCACTGGATCCCCAAATCCCTCTGTGCGCACCCCACCCACATCTCCGGGGTGTCCGGAATCCCTCGGATCCCCCCAGGATCCCCCCCAGGCCCCTCTGTACCCACCTCCCTCTGTCCCCCCCCTTCCCCGCAGGATCCCCCGGGTTCCCCCGGGATCCCCCCCAGGACCCCCCCCCCGCGGCTCCCTCATCCCGCCTATCCCCCCCTGTAGCGCTCCCCGCCCACTTTCCCTCCATTCCCCCCGCGGCTTTCCCCGAATTTGCCCCAATTTTCCCCGAATTCCACCCCCCACCCCGGGGTCCCCCCCGACCCCCCCTCACCGGGGCTTCCCTCGGCTCCGCCGCGGGGCACGCCGGGAGCTGTAGTCCCCGGGACGGCCGCGGGGCACGCCGGGAGCGCTGTCCCCATGGCAACAGCAGGAGGCGGGAGGTGGTGCGCGGTGCACGCCGGGAAGCGCCGTTCCCGCCGGCGGGGGGAGCGCGGGGGATGCCGGGAGCGTTTCCGGTTCCGGCGGCGGCGGCGCACGCGTGAGCGCTCGGGAGCGGCGCGGGGCCGCGCGCGCCAACCGGAACCGGAACCGGGACCCCGGACCGGAAAGGAGAACCGGAAACAGCTTCGGAAGGGCAGCGGGGCCGTAACCGGAGCGCCGCGACCCCCCGGCCTCCGCCATGGCGCTCATCTGCTCCAGTGAGTGCGGAGAGAGAGCGGCCGCGAGAGTGCGGGGGGGGAGCGCTACCGAACGGGGCATCCCGGGCTGCGGGGAGGGGACAGTCGGGGTCTCACCGGGGGATCACCGGGCAGGGAGTTCCCAAAGCCTGTTCCCGTCCCGTCCCATCCTTCCCTTTCCCCCGCAGTTTCCAACGAGGTCCCGGAGCACCCGTGTGTGTCGCCGGTGTCCAACCACGTGTACGAGCGGCGGCTGATCGAGAAATACATCGCGGAGAACGGCACCGACCCTGTCAACAACCAGCCGCTGTCCGAGGAGCAGCTCATCGACATCAAAGGTGCCGGGAACGGGCGTGGGAAAGACTCTCCCGGGAAAAGCGCCTCTCCCGGGAAAAGTGGCTCCCTCGGGGGCGGGAATGGCGGTGCCCGAGGTGTTCTGGGGTTTGAGGTGCCAAACTCAGCTGTGGAGGCCGGGAAGGAGAGGGGCAAAGGAGAGATGGTGAAATGGCAAAGGCAAGGGATGGGAGTGCCATATCCATAGGGATATCAGGGACATGGATGATGCGCCCATCTTTTTTCCAGTCGCCCACCCGATCCGGCCCAAGCCCCCCTCGGCCACCAGCATCCCGGCCATCCTGAAAGCCCTGCAGGACGAGTGGGTGAGTGAGTGCCGGGGGGGCTGCCGGGGGGCCGGGATCCCGGTGCTGTTCCCCAGCTGACGGTGGCGCTTCCCGGCAGGATGCCGTGATGCTGCACAGCTTCACTCTGCGGCAGCAGCTGCAGACCACGCGCCAGGAGCTGTCCCACGCCCTGTACCAGCACGACGCTGCCTGCAGGGTCATCGCCCGCCTCACCAAGGAGGTCACTGCCGCCAGAGAAGGTGACACGCACACGGGGCATTCCCACATCTGGCATTCCTGGGAAGGGGTGCTGGGAAGTGCTTTATCCCGGTGTTCCTTTAAACCTGTTGTGTTTTTGCAGCTCTGGCCACGCTGAAGCCTCAGGCCGGGCTCATCGTGCCCCAGGCGGTGCCGTCAGCGCAGCCCAACGTGGCTGTGAGTCCTGCTCCCCATCCCGGCCCTTTTCCCGCTCATTCCCAACCCTTTTCCCACTTATTGCTCCTGAATTCCCTCTCTACATGTCCCTTCTCTCTGTGCCACACAGGGCGCTGGCGAGGCCATGGATCTGGGAGAGCTGGCAGGAATGACCCCAGAGATCATCCAGAAGGTAGGGGCAGCGTTCCATGTGTTCCCCTCTCCGTCTCTCTATCGCAGAATTCCTGCTCTGTGCCCACGCTCCTCTTGTTTTCTAGCTCCAAGACAAGGCCACGGTGCTGACCACGGAGCGTAAGAAGGTGAGTGGCCTTATCCAAGGATTTAGAGGGAGCTGGGATGTGCCGTGCTCCAGCCAAGGCTGATGTTTATCCCTGATTTTTCCAGAGGGGCAAGACAGTCCCAGAGGAGCTGGTGAAGCCAGAGGAGCTCAGCAAGTACCGGCAGGTGGCCTCGCACGTGGTGAGTGCTGGCAGGGGAAAAGACTGGGAAACTCCCACATGGAGCTGGGAATTGCTTCTTGATTGCTTTTGGGAGGGTTTTGCTGCTTGTGGCAGTAATTTGGGGTTCTCCTCCCTCACACAGGGGCTGCACAGTGCCAGCATCCCTGGAATTCTTGCCTTAGATCTGTGTCCTTCCGACACCAACAAGATCCTCACTGGTAAGGGAGCTTTCCTGGGGGTTTCCCAACTGGGAATAGATCTCTTGCTCTGTGTTTTTGGGAATTTGAAGGAGGACAAGGGACATAAGGCAGGTGGATTTGGGTTTGGTTGGCCCCACACTCCCATTCCTGCGCTTCCCGCTCGGTTTTCCAGGTGGAGCCGACAAAAACGTCATCGTGTTCGACAAGAGCTCGGAGCAGATCCTGGCCACGCTCAAGGGCCACACCAAGAAAGTCACCAGCGTCGTCTTCCACCCATCCCAGGTGCGTCCGGCTCTTTCCTCACTTCCAGGATGCCTCAAGTCTGGATATCAGCACCCTTCTCTGCTGGAATCTCCTGCTGGGAGTTCTCAGAGACGTGAATTCTTCCCGCGTGAACCTTCTGGTGTTGTCCTTGTGCAGGACTTGGTGTTCTCGGCTTCTCCCGACGCCACGATCCGGATCTGGTCCGTTCCCAATGCCTCCTGTGTCCAGGTGGTCCGTGCCCACGAGGGCTCCGTGACCGGGCTCAGCCTCCACGCCACGGGTGATTACCTGCTCAGCTCCTCGGATGACCAGGTGAATCCCTCCCCATCCCTCAGCTCCCACCTTTGCTTCCCACCCTTCCCCTATCCAACGCTCTTTCTCTCTCCCAGTACTGGGCTTTCTCGGATATCCAGACCGGACGCGTCCTCACCAAGGTGACAGATGAGAGCTCTGGATGTGGTAAGCCTTGGAGTCGATTATCCCCATTCTGGGCATCTCTTGGCTCTTGGAGTTCATGGGAGCTCCTTTGGAGGGCTCTTGGTAGCCTTCCCAACCTTCCTGAGTCTTCCCAACCCTTCCAATCTCATCAACCTTCTTGGGTGTTCCCAACTCTCAAAATATTCCCAACTCCCTGTATCTTCCCAACCCCGTGAGTCTCCCCAACCCTCTTGAGCCTTCCAACCCTCCCAACATTCCAACTCTTCCTAACCCTCTTGGAAGTCTTCCCAAGTGTCTGATTCCCTACTGTCTCCACAGCTCTCACCTGTGCCCAGTTCCACCCGGACGGGCTCATTTTTGGGACGGGAACGATGGATTCCCAAATCAAGATCTGGGATCTGAAGGTGAGGGCTGATGGGAATGTGTGGGAACAGGGGTTTGGGGTGTCCGAGCTTGGTTTGGGGATCAGTCAAAGGAGCAGGACTTTGAGGAATGTTTTTGGAGGTTTCTCCAAAAGTCCCAAGGTTCCAGCTGCAGAGCAGCCGCTGGTGACACTGTTACCGCGCAGGCCGGTTGGGAACGATGCCACATCCCAGCTCTGTGATTCCCTGTGCCCACCTTGTCCCCAGGAACGCACCAACGTGGCCAACTTCCCGGGACATTCGGGCCCCATCACCAGCATCGCCTTCTCTGAGAACGGATACTACCTGGCCACGGCAGCCGATGACTCCTCCGTCAAGCTCTGGGATTTGAGGAAGCTCAAGAACTTCAAGACGTTGCAGCTGGATAACAACTTCGAGGTGTGTGATATCCCTGTCAGCTCCAGGGGTTGTGGCATCCCAAAAAAGCCTTTTTGGGAGCTTTTTCAATGCCTTGTTGTGATTCTTCTCTGCAGGTGAAATCCCTGATTTTCGACCAGAGCGGGACCTACCTGGCACTGGGCGGGACTGATGTCCAGATCTACATCTGCAAGCAGTGGACAGAGATCCTCCACTTCACAGGTGAGGGGTTCTGGGAATCATGGAAGTGGCTGGGGCGGGAATGGGACAAATCCACTCGCAATTGTGACCGTGGATTGTTTTCTGTCCCCAGAGCACAGTGGTCTGACCACAGGAGTGGCCTTTGGCCACCATGCCAAGTTCATCGCTTCCACAGGCATGGATCGGAGCCTCAAGTTCTACAGCCTGTAGCCCTGGAAGTGGGGCTGGGATTTTTTGGGATTCGGGGTGGGAGGTGGGTGGGAATATCCAGGTGGGATTATCAAGCTCCCCTGTTGTAGCTGTTGGTGTAAGGGAAGTCAGACATTGCCTTCCCCGTGCTCCATGGATTTATTGTTTAGTTTTTTTCCCCAATTCTGTGTGTTTTCCGCCTTTAGATTGTTTTGTGCTTGTAACTGATTTGACAAAAAGCCCCAATCCCGGTGCTGGTGGAAGTTAGAGGCCGGGATGTGTGGAAGGAGGGAGGGAGGGGAGGGAGTACTGTGCAGTTTTGTAAGCAGCTACTTAGTTTCAGTATGGAAATAAAGAATTATTCCCTGTCATCTCAGCTGGAAAAGGCTCCTGTCAAGGGCTGGGGTGTAGCAGGGTGGGATTTGGGGGATCTGTGGCTGCTGCCAGCTTGGGAATGGGGATGAGGGACCCTCTTTCCTCCCCTCCAAAGGACAAACCACCCTTAGAAACGTGTTTTGAACTGGTTTTATTTTTCCACCTTTCCCAGAGACATCCAACAGCACCCAGGTAGAGGCTGGAGCTGGAAGGAGGAAGAGAGGGAAGAGATAATTTAGAGGGATGAAGGGGTGTTTGGGAGGAAGGAGTTTTTAGGGAGCAGAAGGCACTTACTCCTCAGCCTCTCTGCTGAGTTCCCCCTCTCTTGGGAACCTCAGGAAAGACAAGGCATCCCTGGGATGTGACTGTCCCTGTGCTGTCATCTGTGCTCCTGTTCCCCGGAGACCTCCGTGCTCCTGTGGGAAGCAGCAGGTTGGCTTGGGAAGAATGGGACATGTAGAGGTCTTCCCAAATCCCTGGAGGCTCCCAGACTCACGTGAGGGCACTCCCAGCTGGCAGGAGGGCCGGCAGGGCTCCGGCTGGGCCAGGTGGCACACGGAGGCGCTGCAGGAGATGTACACCTGGGAGCCACAGGAATGCCAGCCTCACCTGGGGATCCCCAAAAAGGGTCCCCGAGCCTGAAGAGATTCCCAGGAAAGCATCCCCAAGCCTTGAGGAACCTCCCAAAAGTAGCGTGAGCTTCCCAACAGGAAAGGATTGTGGGCAGCTGAAAATGAGCTCAGTGCTGGGGTGGGTTTGGGGGTGTTGGGATGAGAGATTCCCAACACATGGATTCAGGAGGATCCCCCTCACCTCCCCCTCCAGCACAGCCATTCTGGGGGGCTCCACAAAGGCAAAGGTGGAGATGACAAAGCGCTGGTAGTGGCTTGGGAAGGGCAGCTCCGGAGAGGCCGGACCCATCGGAATCAGCCGTGTCCTGTAGTTGTCCCCTTGGAAGGGACACCTGGGTGGGAAACAAGGACACTGTGTCAGCACAGTGACCCCCTCACTTCCATCTTCCCGTCCTTTTCCACTTACCCTTCCACCAGGATGGGCCACTGGGGCTGGGATGTGGCGTGGGAGCCAGGGGAGGCCCAGCAGTGGTGCAACACCAGCACCAAATTGGGATCTGTCTTCTGGAGCAGCCGGACTTCCACATAAATGGGGTCCCGGAGCACCCTCACCAGGGGGAAGTCACCCACAGCGTGGTAGGAGCTGTAGGATTCGTCTGTGGGAATGTTGGGAGGGGTTGAGTGGGATGGGGAGCGGGATGGGGAGAGGGATAGGGAGCACTCACCGGTGGCAATCCGCAGCTGGAGCCCCAGCGGGCCCGGCATGGCCAGGGGGGTGGCTGTGGGGGGCATGGCCACCTCCACTCCCAAGGGAAGGAGGTCGCTGGAGTTGTAGATGCACCGAGCTCGGAGACTGGGGAAAAGAGAGAGAGAAAGGTGGGAGACTCCCAAATCCTCCATCAGCCCCTCCAAGTTGTGGGGACACCACCAGGGATATGGCAGGAGTGAGGGTTGGTTTGATCCAAGGGGGAATCCAGGCTCTCTGCCTTGATTTTTCCACCCTCTTCCCTTACATGTAGACACTGTCCCGAGTGACAGAGCCACGGGGGGATCCCTGGACATCGATGGTGGAGATCAGCTGGTTCTCATAGATCAGCATGTCCTCGATCACCTGTGCAGGGAACACCGGAATGGGAAACATCCTGGGAGATGCACGGATCAGGATTCGAGGCAGGAGGCAGCATGTGGACGAGATTTCATTGAAGTTCTGGAGGCACTGGGGGCATCCTGGGGGCACTTCTATCCTGGAGTGACCCCACCGTGCCCACCTGGGGGTACTCCGGGGTTTTCCTGCCCTACCTGGACGGTGGTGCCGCAGTGGGTGACCGGGAAGCGGAACATGACGAAGGCCTCGGACACGTGGCGGGGCTCGCATCCCGCCTGGCCGCTGGCCAGCCGCACGCTGTCCAGGTTGTACGGCAGGGCCACCATTCCCCGCGGCACCACCAGGACAAAGTGTCCCTCCAGCAGGCACTGCACGGTGGCTGCGACACCACGGAGAGGCTCCATCACTCTGAGCACCCTCTCCCGGCGCTGGGGAGGGATTTTTGGGACGTGCCCGCCGGCTGTCCTACCGGTATTCCCGTAATAGCAGGGCGTGGTTCGGTCCATATCATCGTAGCAGCATCCCGCCTGCAGGCATGCATCCCGTCCCTGTGGAGCCACGCACGGCATCCGGCCCACCGGCACCTGGCACTGCTCCCGGGTCAGCTGCGTTCCTGGAGGGAAGCAGAGAGGGGACACAGCAGGAATGTGGGTTGAAAAAGCACCTCGAGGCCGTTTCCCTTTGTCCCATCATCCCATCTTCCTGCCTTACCTGCCCCTGGCGAGGGGTAGAAGAGCGCTGTGGGCTGCAGCAGGCTGGGCTGGGTGTGAATCCCAGGATGCAGCAATCCAGGCTGGGGCTCAGCCTGGAGTCCAGGGCTAATGAAACCTGGCCAGGATGAGAGTCCTGGCTGCACCAAAACCGGGCTGGGATGGAGCAGCCCAGTGTGGCCTGGGAGCCCGGTTTGGGAGTTGGAGGGTTGACCGGGACGAGATATTCCTGGCTGGTTTAAGAGCTGAGCTCCCGAGTGCAGGAATCCTGCTGGAGTCTGGGCACCAGTGGAGGTCAAGCCAGGCTGGTTGGGGGATACAAACCCTGGGCGAATCCCTGGTTGGTTTTGGTATACAGACCCTGGGCGAATCCCTGGTTGGTTTTGACCCCCAGCATGCATCAACCCAGGCTGGTTGTGGGATGCAGACCCTGGACGAATCCCTGGTTGGTTGTGGGATGCAGATCCTGGACGAATCCCTGGTTGGTTGTGGGATGCAGACCCTGGACGAATCCCTGGTTGGTTTTGACCCCCAGCATGCATCATCCCAGGCTGATTTTGGGATACAGACCCTGGACGAATCCCTGGTTGGTTTTGACCCCCAGCATGCATCATCCCAGGCTGGCTGTGGGATGGAGACCCTGGACGAATCCCTGGTTGGTTGTGGGATGCAGACCCTGGGTGAATCCCTGGTTGGTTTTGACCCACGGAATGCATCATCCCAGGCTGATTTTGGGATACAGACCCTGGACGAATCCCTGGTTGGTTGTGGGATGCAGACCCTGGGCGAATCCCTGGTTGGTTTTGACCCACGGAATACATCATCCCAGGCTGATTTTGGGATACAGACCCTGGGCGAATCCCTGGTTGGTTTTGACCCACAGAATGCATCATCCCAGGCTGATTTTGGGATACAGACCCTGGACGCAGGTGCCCCGGCTGTGTCTGCCCCCCGTGATGCCCCAAACTGGCATGGTTTTGGGATACGAGCACTGGGCGAAGGAACCCTGGCTGGCTCTGCCCTCCAGGCTGGGGGGGCTGCACTGCTGGGTGGAAGAAGCTTCCCTGTATTTGGTTGACAGGATGAACCCCACCAGGCTGGGACAGAAGCCCTGACTGGGCTGGACTGGAATGGTGTGGGATCCCGGGAAGCACTGAGCTGGGCTGGTACTGTCCCACGGTGTGAACCTGCTCCACATGATCTTGGGATGAGAAGTGGGATCCCGTGAGGGTGAGGGAGGACTCTGAGACTTGGTGCAGGCCAGTGTGGGAGAACACCATTCCGCTGTCCCGGGTCTTCTGGGTTCCATCTGGGAGCATCTCAGAGCCACCTGGCTTGGGGCAGGTCATGTTGACCTCGTAGGAGGTGACAGGGATCCCGCTGGACAGCAGCTCCTCCAGCTGCACCCGCAGGACGTAGCGGTTCTCCTGAGGGGGGACACGAGGGACAGTCACCCCCATCCTGCTGGAGGGGGCCATGGAGGGGACGGGAGTGTCACCTTGAACAGGACGTGGCAGCCCTTGTAGCCAGAGGAGAAGATGACAGAGCCATCCTCCCTGGAATTCAGCCAGTGGAGGCAGATGGAGCAGTTGGCCACGTCAAAGCGGGAGCCAAACTCGTCTGGAGGGACACCATGGACACGGGGATGTGACACATCCGTGTGCATGGAAACCCCCCAGGCAGCAGCAACAGCTCATCCAAGCCATGGGGCTCATCCCACTGGGACACCATCACCACAGAACACGCTGGGACTGAGGGGAATCCCAGAGAAATCCAGCACCCCAAGGGGATCCAGGGAGTCCCCCACTCACCCAGAACCTTGAAGCGGACGGTGCGGCCATGAGGCGGGAAGACAAGGAGCTGCATTCCCAACTCTCCGCAGTCGTGGCGGTACTGCAGGAGTGCCACCGTGACTCTGGGCCATGGGGACAGGAGGAAGAGGAGCAGGAGGAAGGAGCAGCTCCGTCCCATGGCGGTTACACGGACGGAGCACGGGGCTCTGTGGTGTGGGTTTATATCCGGATGGCTGGGATGCGGGGGAGGATCAGGATCAGCTGATCCCGTGGGATGAGCTCTGCCCAGGGCTCCTCGCTCCCCTGCCACCGGTGACCTCAGTGCCCCAGCCCTGTGCTCAGCTCCTGTGGCTATGTCACAGTGACCAGGGACAAACTGAGCTTATCCCACACTTGGAGGCTGTCCCAGTGACCAGGGAATGGAACTGGTGCCAGGTGGGATGCCCAGCTGGATCAAGTTATCCAGGGGGAAAGGAGGAGGCTGGTGTGTGCCCACCTGCACAGAGCTAGCGGGGACAGCAGTGACATCTGGACATGCCACTCCTGGAATAGCCATGGGACCAGGGGACACAGTGGCATGGTCACAGTGACACCTGAGGGACAGGGAATCAGAAAGTTACCCCAGATCCCTGCTGTGCCCTGCTGGCAGTGCCACAGGGAATCCAAAGTCCTCCATGTGTGTTCCCTGTACCTACCTTTCCCCAAGTTTCCCTTCTGGGATTTATCTTTACTGCGGATTACACCACATCACCCCTCCCCACCCTTCCCAGAGTGACAGTCACAGCCACTCCCTTGTCCCATGCCCTGGGTGTGGGAATGGGGTCACACCAGATCCCAGGAGCACAGGGATCCCAGCCAGAGGAGCCAGGGCCTGGATGTGATTCCCTCAAACCTCCTCTGGAAGTGAGGGCAGCTGCTGAGAGAGCAGTGTGACCCCAGAGCCACAGCTGGGCTGATATATGGCCAATATATGTTCTATATGTGCCCCATATATGTCCTATATATATGTGTGTGTGTGTGTGTGTGTGTATATGTATATATGTGTATATATATATATATATATATATATACACACATATATACATATATATATGCATACATATATACAAGATATATATATATATAAGATATAGATATATATATATAGGTCTAATATCTATTTTAGATATGTGCTATATATGTCCAATATATGTCTGGGCTGTCTGTTCTGTATGTTCCATATGTATCCAATATATATCCTATATATATGTCCAATATATAGCTAGCATATATCCAATATATCTATCCCACATGTCCAATATACATCCTATATATATCTGATGTATATCCCACATGTATCCAACATATACCTGATGCATCTCCCAAATATCTCCAACAAATCTCCTAAATCTGTGTCCAACCTTTGTCCCACACATCATCCCCCAGGAGCACAGGCAGCAGCCACCAGTGGTGACACTTTATTCCCCAGAGTGACAATCCCGGTGACCACCACCCCTTCTCCCTACCCCTCATAGCTTCATGGCAGCAACCGACCCCAGATGGAGCTCCAAGAACTGCAGGATCTCCTGCCAGGAATGTTCCTGTGCCCGGGCGTGGGCCTGGAGCTCTCCTCCCCACGCCACCGGCTTGGGAGTGCCGCGGATGGCGGAGTTGCCGCACAGGGGGGATCCGGGGGGCTCGATCAGGTGCCCGGCGCCGGGGTAGGACAGGACCCGGCCGCTCTCCGGCGGCATCCGCGCCAGGGCCAGCTCAGCAAAGAGCTTGCTGTTGAAGCTGCGGTCGGCCTCTCCCACCACAAACAGCACCTTTCCCCGGATCCTCTCCACCGGGATGGCCGAGGCGCGGTGGGCGGCATCCCGGGGGTCGTCGAAGATGGCCGAGTTGTCCATGGCTCCCACCTCGGTGAACAGGACGCGCTCGGTGTGGTAGGGGATGGCAGGGATGCGCAGATCCTTGTAGAGCAGAGGGTTTCCATACAGGAAGCTCGTGCCGTTGATCCACACCGTGGCCACCACCTGTGGCAGGAAGGTGGCCATGGCCAAGGCCACCTCTGCGCCTTTGGAGACGCCCACCACACCCAGGCCGGGGCCTCGGACCTGAAGGAAGAGGAAATGGAGCCAGCTGGGATAATACTCAGGGATAATACATTTACTGGGACATCCCTGGGTGCCAGGACAAGGGTGTCCTCATGGGATATCCCCCAGTCCCTGGGACATTCCTGGTGCTCAGGACAGCCCTGGGACACTACCCCTGGCCACCTGGACATCATTGCTCACCAGGATGAGGATGTCCCCAGGACATTCCTGGTCCCCAGGACAATCCCTGGCCACCTGGATGTCCAGTTGTCCCCAAGCACATCCTGGCTGACAGGTGGCTTTCTCCACACTCCAGGACTCACCTTGGGATGCCGGAGCAGCAGCTCTGCCGCTTCCTCAAAATATTCCAGGTCCAGCTGGGCCAGGACTCGGGGCAGGTCGTCGTAGGCGAAGAAGGCGAGGGCCAGCACGGCAAAGCCCCGGCTGGCCAAGAGCCCTGCCCGGAACTCAATCAGCCCCCCTGCACCCCCAAACAGGTCGATGACTCCAGGGAAGGGGCCTGGACCTGTGGGAAGACAGGGAGAATGTCAGGGATGGGGAGCCACCCCTGCTGTCCTGCATCCCGGAGGTTCCATGGCTGGGCATCCCAGGGGGCACAAGGTCCAGTATCCTGGGGGTCCCAAGATCCTAAGGTTTGATATCTCAAGGATCCCAAGGCTGGACAACCCAGGAATCCCAACTTTGGGCATCCCAGGGGTCCCGAGGTTTGCTAACCCAGGGCTTCCAGGGCTGGACAACCCAGGCATCTTATGGTTTAGCATCCCAGGAGTCCCAGTACTGTTTCCCAGGGGTCCCCATGTTTAACATCCCCAGGATCCCAAGGCTCAGTATCAGTATCCAGGGCTCCCAAGGTCCAGTATCCCAAAGGAATACTGGCTGGCTATCCCAGGGGTCCCAAGGCTGGGCACTGAAGGGCTCCCAAGAACACGCACCCTGCCAGTCCCTAGGTTTGATATCCTGGAATTCCCCGCTCCCTGGGTTTGATATCTCGGAATTCCCTGCTCCCTGGGTTTGATATCCCGGAATTCCCTGCTCCCTGGTTCGATATCCCAGGATTCCCCCCTGCCCAGTGCTCACCAGGAGGCAGGAACAGGGCGCCACGGACCCTTCCCTCACGGATGGGCACCCGCTGCACTCCGGGGCCCACGTACCAGCGCTCGGCCTCACAGGATGCCAGTGGCTGCTCCCGTGGATCCGTGCCCAGGCTGAGCCCGTCCAACACTTCCAGCCGCACGCGGAAGGGGCTGCCAGCCACATCCCGCTTCACCAGCCGCCGGAACAGCGTGTCAGGCTGCAGGAACCACAGCAGCCCCATGGGCCAGACCCCGGAGTAGCTGCCCCCCAGGGCGGCATGGAGCCCGGGATCCACCTCTCCCGCTTCATCAGCGCGGAAGAAGGCACGGGATTGGAAGCACTCGCCCTGCTCGTCCTTCAGCCATGCCCGGAGCGTGACAAGTTGGGATGGGGACAGTCCCTGCACACGGATCTGCACCGGCCGGTCGGCCAGCGAGGACTGCGGCGTCACTGTCACCTCCACCATGGTGCAGCTGGGAATGGGAACCACCCTGAGTGTCCCACAGGGATTGCCACGCCCAGGACGGGGATGCTGGCAGTGGCCTGTCCCCAGGGATCCTCACGGGAGACCCCCAGGATGGGGTTTGTGGTCCAGATAGTTCTGCTGGCATCCCTCCTTCCCATGTCCCTATCCCTCTTTCCCATGTCCCCCATCCCCTCATGGTCCCTGTCCCTTCTTTCCTGGTCCTTGTCCCCTCCTTCCCTGGACCCCTCCTTCCATGATCCCCATCCTCTGCTTCCCTGTCCCCATCCCCTCCCTTCCTCACCCCCTCCCACCCTCTGAACCCACACCCCTGCTCCAAAACTCACCCGGCAGCCGGGACACCCCTTTTCCATGTGTCTCCCAGCCCCGCCATTCCCAGCACCCACTGTCCCCCCTCCTTATCCTCCTCCTCCCCACCCTGGAGCTGGAGCAGGGTGGGGATTCAGGGGCTCCGAGCCCCCTGGTCCTGCGTGCACCCCGCTCCCGCTCCCTGCAGCAGGGCAGGCTGGGAACTGGGATGTTGGCCCCAGTCCAGCCCTGGGAGGAGACTCGTGGTTCTGGTGGTTCTCCCACACCCATCCCAGCAGGAAATCAGCCCCCAAGGGCCCGAGCTTCCCCTTCTCTTACCCTGCTGGGCACAGCTGGGCTGTGGGCTCTGCAGAGGGAGACGCTCGAGGATTCCTTGGAAATCATTAACCCGGGAATGGTGAGGGCAGAGACCTCCTGCCCCATGACCCCGTGCCTGCCTGGCACCGGCCACACCCCAAAATTCCTGTCAGTCCCCACATTCCCTGTGGCACTCCCCCCATCCTGGTCATGGGTGGGACACATCCCATTCCAATTCAGGCCCCCCCCCAAAATTGCCACCCCAGGATGAAGCTCCAGGGCCCCATATTCCCATCCCAGGGCTTCATGCTGATTCCTGCAGTTCCATTTTCCTCCCAGTGCACCCCTTTGTCCCCCCATCCCCTCCATCCCAGCTCAGAGCCACATCTCTCCCCAGGAATGCAGAAAGGGGTGTCCATGGACCAAGAAAAACCAGGAATGTTAAGAAATCCATGTGGATTTCCAGCTTCCAACCCCCACCGAATTCCCAGCGTTGCCCCCAACAGGAGGGTGTGTGACACCGTACCCCCTTCCCTGCTGACAGGTTCCAGGGCTCATTCCCAATGGGAATTCCGCCTTTGGAGAAAGGGGAACTGCAAAGAATGAGGCCACGGCACGCTCCAATCCTAGGAATGCCTTAGGGAATGCCCCACCTGGAGCCCTCAGTCCCCAGAGCCACTGGAGGCAAATCTGTCTCAGTTCATTTTTATAAGAACAAGGCAAATTTGGGAAAGCAAAGTTCTGTTCCAGCCTCCAGCACCGGCCACTTCCTGATTCCACAGGGACTGTGGGGATCCCACAGCAGATGCCTGTGGAACGCATCCCCCTCAGCTCTGTCCCATTGTTTGTCCAACACTGAGGGTCCTGGCAGCGATTCCTGCCTGGTGAGCTGAGGAGAAGCCCCCGGGGAGGAGCAGGATCCCAAATCCTGCCTCATTCCGTGGCCGTGCTGCGCCTCACGGGCGTCTTCTGGAGCAGGGCCAGCGTGTCCCGCTTCTCCACCCGCCTCAGCTGCTTCTTCCTGGCCCTCTTCAGCTTCAGAGGGTTCCGGATCTGGGAAACGAGAAAAGAGAGGAGATTCCATGGAATCACAGGATGTGAATGGTTTGGGTTGGAAGGGACCTTAGGGATGATCCAGTTCCCCGCCTGGCCATGGGCAGGGACGCTTCCCAGTGGTGCAGGTTGCTCCAAACCCTGTCCAGGAGCACTTCCAGGAATGGAGCAGAGTGTGGGAATGAGGCAGGATGGGCATGGAGGGCTCCCAGGACTTATCCCAAAACTAACCCCATCCTCACCCACAGGTGAGGTCTTTGCAACACCCACCCCGAGCTCCCAGGTCTCCTCCCAATGGAAAAGCCACGATTTCCCCACATGGATTCCCACCAGCGCAGCATTTTCCTCACTCCACCACCCCATTATCCCTGAATTCTGGTGTTCCCCAGCTTGGGAGAACACAGGGGACACACTTCCAGCATGCCCAGCTTTGCTGGCAATCTCCCAGTCCTCCCAGGCTCCTCCAAAGACAGAGGCAGGGAGAGGAACTGGAGCAAACTGGAGGCTGATCCACAGGGGGCTGGCGGTTGTGGGGTGCTCCAGGGCTGTTCCCAGCTGGCACAGCGGACTCACCACTTGGACAATCTCGGCTTTCCGCTCGTTTTCCAGGCGCCGCTTCAGGTTCTCCTCCCGCCGCCGCTTCTTTTCCTGTGGGAGGAGCACCACAGCATTCCCTGAGCATCCCTTCCCCTGGGATTAAACCCAAAGCCCAGCCAAGTGTGAAATCTGTCATTCCAGCAGCTTTTCCACCCCGGGTGAGGCTGGAATTGACCCAGGGAGTTTATTCCGAGTCAGTGACTTGCGGCATGTGACCGTCAGTGACTGGATTTGGCACCAGGACAGGGAATTCTCCATCCCTTTTCCCGGGCTCTGCCCCAGCTCTGAGGCCCGGGAAGAGGGCAGAGACGTGGGACTGTACTTGGGAAAGACGGGAATTCTCCAGCTCCTAAGCCCTGTTACCTCTTTCTCCCTCTGCTTGGCTTCCTCCAGCTGCCGTGCCAGATCCCGGACCAGCTTCCTCTCCTGCCTCTCCTTCATTTTCCGTGCCCAGGAGCTGCGGAGCGCCTTGTCCTGGATCATGTGGGAGAACCTGCGCGGGCACACGGGAGGTGTTGGATCCCCAAACACCCCGGGATGCAGCCGGGGCCACTCCAGCTCCTCTCCAGAGTTCCATGAAACTCCGCCAAGCGTGGAGCATACCACGGCATCCTCAGCATCCCCTCCAAGTCATTCCTGTCACCTCTGGATCCTTCCTAAAACACATGGATACCTCCGGTACCCGCTCACAAGCCTCCCAAACAAACCTGTCCCCCTCAAAACTCCCCCAGCCCTCATGATCCCCCAAAGAGTCCTTCTGGAGCCCAGAGCCCCCCAATAACTGCCCCCATTCCCTGCCTCCCTTCACACCTCTTCTTCCCGGGATCCTTCCACACGCGTCCCGACTTGGGCTTGCCCCGCGGGATGGCTACCACCGCCTCCTGCCGCTTCTTGCCACCTTTCCGCCGCCGCCGCCGAGCCGCGGCCGGAGCCGAGGGGCCCTCGCTGGGCCCCTCGGGGGTCGCTCCTGGTCCCGGTCCCGGGGTCCCCCCGTTCTCCCCCTCCATGATCCACGCGGCCCCGCGGCGTCGCGGAGAGATTACGTCAGAGAGGCGATCGCCGCAGGAGCGCGAAGCCAGAGCGCCTCTCCGGCCGCCATTTTTGTATTGGGCAACACCCTCCGCGCACGGCGGCGCCCGCCATGTCTGTGTCGGGCCTGGTCGCCATCTTTGTGCCGGGCAGCACCCTCCGCGCACATTGCGGTGGCCGCCATCTTTGTACTGGGTACCGCCATCTTTGTACTGGGCCGCCATCTTTGTGCCGGGCAGCACCGCCCACCACCGTGGTACCGGGACCCTCCGAACTCCCGCAAACACACCCGGGGCGAGTCCCCCCCGCACCCCGAGTAACCCCCGGAGACACGGGCGGGCCGGGCTGGGGGAGAGGCCTTTATTGGGGACCGAACACGCTGAGGGCATCCCAGGGGGCTCCACGTGCGGGGCTGGGCCGTGGCTACAGCGCCTGGGGAAGCAAACACAGGGAAATCCATGGAAATCTCCGGGAAGGACACGGGAATTCCCGCACTGGGGCGGTCCTTGGGAGGGAGGAAGAGGGGTGGATCAGCATTCCCGGGATTTGCAGGATTCCCGCCTCCCTCACCAGCTGGGTGTATGTGTGCTGCCGGACTGTGTCGTATCCAAACGCCAGAACCGCCACGGCCACGCAGAATTCCAGGAGAGCGAGCAGCACCAGGATGGAATCCAGGCCGTTGCTCAGCATCTGCCAGGAGGAGGAGGACGGGAGTGTGAAAAATGCCTGTTTTGTGATTGGCTTTTAGCAAATATTAAAATGAATGTTACATGTGTTGTGTTAGAAAGTTATGCTGTATTAATTCTTTTAAGTAGTGTGTTAAATATACGTGAAAAACGCCAATCGCTTGTTTTTAGAATTTTAAAAGTTTAATAGTAATAAAATAGTTATAAAAATAGTAATACAATTAGAGTAATAATAATTTGGACAATTTGAATTAGGACAATATAAGACAATAAAAACAAAGAGTTATGGACGCCCGGGTACCTTTTTCTGGGCAGCACGAGCCCGAAAAAGGACACCCGTTAACAGAGGATTAACCTTTAAAAACAATAACCTGTTGCATATTCATACATCTCATACATGATGCATAAATTCCACTCAAATACAGGATTCTGTCTGGTCATCGTCAACTTCTTGCTCATAATCCTGACAGCATCATCCTGCCCGAGTGAGGAAGGAAGAAGTTTGTTTCTCCTGATAACAGAGCAATAAATTCTCTTTCTCTGAAATATTTAGGTGTCCTGTGACTGCTATCTCACTGCGAGTCCTTTCTTTAGAAAAAAAAAAAATATCCCACCTACATAGTTTCTATTTCAACATTTTGTTACAACTTAAAACTATATTTACCACACTACTTAAGAGAATTAATACAGCCTTACTTTCCAACACAGCACTTATAACATTAATTTTAATATTTGCGAAAAGCCAATCATAAAATATGCATTTTTCACATATCGTTTTAGGTTACAACATAATGTTAAAATAGAAACTATGCTATGTAAGATACTTTTTTTAAAAGAGAGGAATGAGGTACTCGCACTGAGATAGCAGCCACAGGACACCTAAATCTTTCAGAGAAAGAGAATTTATTGTTCCCTTATCAGAAGAAACAAACTTCTTCCTGCCTCTCTCAGCTATGAAGATGCCATTAGGATTAAGAGGAAGAAGTTGACACTGACCAGACAGAATCCTGTGTTTGAATGGAATTTATGCATCATGTATGAGATGTATGAATGTGCAACAGGCTGTTGCTTTTAAGGGTTAATCCTCTGTTAACGTGTGTTCTTTTTCGGGCTTATTTTGCCCAGAAAAAGGTACCCGGGCTGTCCAGAACTCTTTGTTTTTATTGTCTCATACTGTCCTAATTCTTAATTGTCCAAATTATTATTACTCTAATTATATTACTATTTTTATAACCATTTTATTAGTATTAAACCTTTAAAATTCTAAAAGCAAGCGACTGGCGTTTTTCACAGGAATATCCCAGGATCCACCACCCAGAACAGGACGGGACCCTTGAGCACCCCACCCAGACTGGGATTCCCCCACAATCCCAGCTGTCCTACCTTGCTCTCCATGTGGAAGCACCATTCCGGGCGGGCCTGGTAGGGCTCGGGTTTCCCGCAGCCGGGTGTGATCTGGGTGATGGCCGTGCCGTGGATCCCGGTGGCCACCAGCGTGCCCAGGACAACGCCCACGCTGAGCACACAGCAGGCCTTGACCTGCGGGAAGCACCCGGTGACACAGACCCTGGGAAGGGCTCCTTCCCACTGGGATTATCCAACTGGGATCAGAGATCTCCTGGAGAAGCCACCCAGTTCTGTCCCACTCATCCCACAGTGATTCCAAAGCCATGAGGGCTTCCTGCACTTTTCATCCCCCTCATCCCACAGTGATTCCAAAGACCATGAGGGTCTCCTTGGACCTTTTATACCTGGAAATCCACAGTGAGTCCCCAAAGGCCATGTGGGCCTCCTGAACCTTTTATCCCCCTCATCCCACAGTGATTCCAAAGCCATGAGGGTCTCCTTGGACCTTTTATCCCTGGATTCCCACAGTGATTCCAAAGCCATGAGGGTCTCCTTAAACCTTTAATATCCCACTCATCCCACAATGATTCCAAAGCCATGAGGGTCTCCTTGCACCTTTCATCCCACTCATCCCACAGTGACCCAAATCCCCATCCTGTGCTCTGTGTGGGAGAGCTGGGCACTTCCCAAGGGGGAGACTGGCCTGTGGATCCCGTGGGATGAATCCAGGCTGTGGAGGGATCCTGGCAGCTGCTGGAAGGGACATAAGGAATGGGGGGACACCTTGTCCCTGCCAGCCTGGATCTTACCAGCACAGGGCTGTCTCTCCTTTCACTTTCCACCAACAACGAGCCCGAGACCAGGAGCTACTTGGAAAACAGTGGGAATTGGTGTCAGCAGCAAGGCACCCTTCCCTGGCACCCTTCCTGGTGGGAACTGGGGTTCAGGGATGCACAAACACCCCCGAATGTGGGGGGAAATGGTTATTGGATATTGTCACCAGGATTTCCTGAGATTCCCATGTCCTCGTCCCAACTTACCAGGATCCCCAGCCAGAAGAGGATCCCGCTGGCCACAGGGAGGGAAGGGTTCCTGTGCTCCGACAGTGTCAGGATGATCCCAAAGCAGATGTGGACAATTCCAGTGAAGATGTGGATGGTCTGGGGAAGGATGAGGGAGAGGGTTCCCGATCCCGTTACTGTGAGGCACATCCCAGTCCAATCCCACATCACAGTGCTGGGAAGGGACTGGGAGAGGCACCTGTCCCAACATCCCCTCCATCCAGCCAGGGAGAACATCCAGCAGGACGATCCTCAGGGATCCCCAATCCTGCTGGGCCCCTGGAAGGCCGTGTCTCACCCCCAACACCTTGGGATGAGCCCTGCGGAAGCCTTGTGTTTGGAACGAGGTCCTGGCAGGTGCCGGGGAGCCTGAGGCCAGCTGGGCCGCCCGGGGATCCGTGGCCGGGATCACCTCCGTGATGATCCTCACGCTGCCCGCGTCCGTCACCGTGGTGGCTGCCATGGCCCGGGAACCAGCCCAGGGGGCTGAAGAAATTCCCAGGTGCCTTCCTCCTCCTCACCGTGATCCCTTTGCAGCCCAAAATCCCCGGGAGGTGCTGGCCAGGCAGGCACACGCTCCCGCTGCCCTTTGCTCCCTGCGGGAAGCTTGCTCATGGAATTCTCGTCAGGGCCCTCTTGCTCAACGAGGCGGCTTTGCCAGCGGAGGCTCCCAAAATCCTGCATGGAAAGAGGGAGGGAGGGACAGGGAAGGGTTGGATGCTTTTCCCTCGGGATGCTCCAAGACCCCCTCTCCATCCCAAATTGTGGATGCTTTGCTTGGGAATCACTCCTGCAATTAGCTTGGTACCTAATGAGGTGTTCATAACATAACCTGCCCACTTCCCAGGAAAACTCGCATTGAGACAGGGAACTTTATAAATCCTGTTATAAAGGAAGTTCCTTTATTGCCATTTTTGGGGATTCTCCCTCCTCCATCCCTGTGGGTTTGTCTCCAGTGAGGACACGCAGGAGGGATTCAGGGATCTCTGGCCATCTCCACTGGGAGTCAGAGGGAAAGGAGATGCTGTTATTTATGATGGGAAATGGGAGGTCAGGCTGGGAACGGAGCCATCACACACGGCGAGGGGATCCCGAGGGATTCAGAGGCCCCTTCCTGCCTCCATCCCTCCCTCCTCCCAGAAAACAGCCATGTCCTTTTCTCCAGGAGCATTGAGTACCCCATGCCGACCTGGAGGACCCCCCCCGGATGTCCGATGTGTGTAGGGTAGGGATTTCTTGGTGGAGCAGGAATTTTTAGGTCCAGGATTCTGGCACCACCCCATCACCTCACTCTCTGCCTGGGAAAGGATAGGACCCTCCAGCTGACGATTTAAGGAGCAGGTGGAGCAACTTCTGGAAGTTTTTTCCTTCTCTCTGGCTCTAGAGGGAGCTGAGAGGCCGCGTTTGGAAGCACTGTGTTTCCAAAGCCCAGGAGCGGCTTCCAGCCCTTGGGCCGGCTTGGAACAACCTGGGCTAGTGGGAGGTGTCCCTGCCCATGGCAGGGGGGTGGAACTGGATGATCCTTATGGTTCCGTCCATCCCAAACCATTCCAGGATTCCGTGCCCTCCCCATGCTCCCACACACCAGGGAACGGGACACCCCCTCCAAACTGGCCCAAATCACATCCCAAAAAAGAGCTGGAAGAACAGACCTGGAGAGCAAAGAGCAGCAGCTCACGCCTCCATCCCAGCTCCAATGGCATTCCTCCATCCCACCCATGACCTTCCTCCATCCTGCATCCCTGATGGAAGCGTGCACTTGGCCTTGTAAAGGGCTGCATCTGGCAGCACGGCTTTCCAGGAAAAACATGGACGTGGATGAGATTCAGCCTCTTCATCACATTCCTGATGCCTCAGAGCCTTTAATTCCTGCTGGTGCCTCATCCCTCTCAACACTCCAATCCTAACAATCCCAGGGATCTCGTTCCAGCCGCAGGAAGGAACACTTGAGCCCCCGTGGAAATTCTGGGATCCCCTCTTTAGCCTTTAGGCAGCCAGGGTATCCTCCACCATTATCCACGGCTCACATTCCCAGCCAAAACCACCCTACACGGTGGATTTCCTCCCAAATCCGCCTTTCCAGATTCCTACAGCATTCCTCAAGTTCCAGCCTTGCAGCCAGTAACAGCCATGACCGCCCTCAGCCCCCCAAACCCCACTTTCCAAGCGGGTGATCCATGGAAAAAGCGCTTTCCCCTTCCTAAATAAGCCCAGGGCCAGCTGGGGATGGCAGGAGCCCAAGGTAGGATGTCAGGATTTGTTTTGGAAGCGGATTCCAGAGGAGGTGAAGCTTTGAAGCAGATGCAGGGAAGCAGCAGGGCCGGGTGGTGGAGCTTTCCAACCTTTTCTTTATAGGAATTTTTGGCTTTGTAGACATATAAAACACATTCCTTGGATTTTAATGTTCATTTTCCTATTTTCTAGGACAAGTTTTGGATGGGGGAAGCCTGACTGGATGCTCAGGGGGGATCAACGAGACCCTCCCAGATTCCCTCCCACCAGCACAGGACAAAATTTATGAGCCTGGTGGAACCAAAATTCTTTTTCCAACCCCAAAATCCCTGAGTTTTTTTCCAAAGAAAATAGATTACGATGGAGAAAAGCTCTCCAAAGAAACTTGCTGCTTCCTGGGACTAACTTTATATCCCCATAAAAATACCAAAAGTCAACATTTTGCTTTGCTTCCAGGTGTTTCTGCTTCCCACAGGGCTCTTTCCATACTGATTCCAGAAGGAAAGTCATGTTTTCTGGGAAAGGTTTCAGGGTTTTTGGCTTTAAACATCCCCCTGTCCATCCTGGATAAGGGAATCTGGAACAGGGAGCAGGCAGGAGGTTGGGGGGCATTGCTGCCTGCTGGAGTGATCCATACCTGACATTTGGGACACGGTGACATCGCTCCCAAACCCTGTCCCAGATGTGTCCATCAACCCCCACACGTGATGTTCCAGCCTTTGATCCACTCATTCCCAGGAAAACTCCTGAGGCTGCAGAAAAGTTCCAGAAAACTTCTCCAAGGCTTCACCAGCATCCACTTTCCACTGGCAGTCCTGGAATGGGACCTTAAACACTTCCAGGGAAGGGGCAGCCACAGCTTCCCTGGGAAATACATTCCACCACCTTCACACCTCACAGGGAGGAATTTCTTCCCAATATCTCATCTAAACCCACCCCCTGGCAGTGGGAAGCCATTCCCCCTTGTCCTGGCACTCCAGGCTCTTCTAAAGTACCTCTCCAGCTCTCTTGGGGCACCTTTAAGTGCTGGAAGATTTGCCAAGGTCTCCCTGGATCCCTCTCTTCCCAAGGGGAAGAGCCTTTGGGACATCTCAGTGCATCTCACAGTTCCCCCTTTCCAGCTCCTCCAAGGGTTTTGATTTTCCTTAGGTATCACCACCAGCAGGGACACAAAACTCTGTGGTCCCTGTCACCTTCTATTCCCAGCCCCTGGAAGTCTCCACTCCCCCTGGATCTGCAAATTTCCACCTACAAATAAAAATATATTTAAAACCCCCACATTCCCACACAGCCTTAAACACTTATTCCAGCATTTTCAGGGAAAGCCACATCTAAACACTGGGATACTCCAGGAAAACAGACCCTGCTGCCAGTGGAAGAGGAGGAAGCCTCCTTCCCAGGAAAGCACCACAGAGCTCGGATGGGGGGTGGAATGGCTCCGTGCTGGTCCCCACGGAGCCAGGAGAGGTCGGGATGCTCCGGAGCCGCAGGTGAGGAGCCGGGGCTGTAATGGGCTGTGGCCACGGGCTGAGCAGAGGCAGCCTGTTCATCCTGCTCCCCAAATCCCTGGGGCTTTTCCTACTGATCAGGCTCATTATTTTTTCAGAGCCGGGAACAGAAATAACTGACAGGGAGTGAATAATCCATGAGGCTTTGGCTGAGCAGCCAGAGCATTGTCAGGGAGCGTGGAAAGGAAAAAGAAAACACTGAAGTCACCCCAAAACCTAAGGGAATATTCGAGGAGGAGGTCACTGATCCCACTCTGGCACTGGAGGGGAAATTTGGGATGGATCCTGTGCCCAGAAATTAAGAGGATCCTCCCCCAGAGCACTGGGAACTCACCAGGATGTTCCCATCCCTTGGAAAATCAGCACTGGGGTCTCTTTCCTCACCTCCATCCCACCTTTCCCTTCCATGGACTTGGGATGCTCCTTAAATACCTCGATGCTGCTGGATGCTCATCCCCACCTCATTAAACCCACCAGCATTCCTACAAATGCAGGACAATCAAGGATGGAGCCATAAATGAGCTTGTCAGGAGCTGACAAACCTGCTCCTATTCAAAATGATCCCAGAACCCTTTTCCTTCCCTGAAAATAAAGAATTTTTTAGGAACTGCCGCACGGATAAGGTTCGGGAGCGCCCCTCAGCCCCATTCCCGCCTCCCAGGATGGTGGGAACAGGGAGCACATGACACCCGTGTCCCCGTGTCACCTCCCGGAGCAGCTCCAGCCCTGGGGCAGCTTCCCGGGTGGCGGCGGCAGGACCGGGATGCGCTGTGCTGGAGTCACCGGCGCCGCCGCCGGCTGCTCCAGCCACGCTAAATATAGCGGGACCGTGCTGGAATGGGGGGCTGAGGGGGGTTGGGGAGCAGAATTCCCCCCGGGAGACAAGGTACCCTGGTTTGGAGGGTGGAATTCCAGCAGGAGAGGGGATTAGAGGGGCAGAATTCCCCTCAGGTGAGCAGGAATTGAGGGATGTATGGGGACAGAATTCCTTCAGAATCAGGTACCAGGTTTAGAAGGATGGAATTCCCTCTGGAGAGGGGTTTTGAGGGGCAGAATTCCCTCTGGAGAGGGGTCTTGAGGGGCAGAATTCCCTCTGGAGAGGGGTCTTGAGGGGCAGAATTCCCTCTGGAGAGCAGGTACTGAGGGGTTCATGTGGACAGAATTCCCTCAGAATCAGGTACCAAGATATAGGAGGGTGGAATTAACCCAGGAGAGGGGTTTTGAGGGGCAGAATTCCCTCTGGAGAGCAGGCACCAGGAATTCAGAGGAGCAAAACTCCCTTGGGAGCAGATGCCAGGGGTTTAGGGGAGCAGAATTCCCCTCAAGGAAAGCAAGCAGGTACCAGGAGTTCAGGAGGGGGCAGAATTCCCTCAGGACAGAGCAAGTATCCCTAGATCAGGCAGGATGAGCCTCTTTCCTGAGGGGCAGCAGCTCTGTGAGGGGGAAGAAAATTCCCACGCTGAAAATTCCCAAATTCAGGAGACACAAGCCCGGAGAGAGCATTTATTCCCAAGAGAAGATGAAGCCAACAGGGGACGAGCCGAGGTAGATGCTCCGGTGACCCGCCTGGCTCCCGGCACACATCAGGGTCACTCCAAACCACCAGGAATTCCTGAACCCCCACACGAGTGAACCCCAGCATCCCACCAGGGATTTACAGGCAGGAATTGCCCAAGATTTCCCCCCTGGAGAAGCCCCTTCCCACAGCAGCCAGCAAGTGGAGCCCCTCAGGCCAGGCCCAGGGGCAGAGGGGCAGGGAATTTGGGGGTGTCCCTGGCTTTTGGGGGGGACCAGCACTTCCCAGCCAGCAGCACAGTGGGAGGAGGATGCTGTAGCCCTGGGATTTAGGAGTGATGGAGGCAGGATCCCATTCCAACATCCTCCGTGTCAGACTTCAGGAGCAGCCAGCTGCAAAGAGACCAGCAGGTGGTTTGGGAAGGGGGCAGGATTTGGGTGGTCCCTCTCCCCCCCAGCACCCACCACCCATGGGGGTTTGGGATCTCCTCCCCATTCCCAGAGCAGAGGGATGGATGCTCCAGGATGCTCCCTTGGGATTGGGGTGGGATGTTTTCCCAGGGAGAGGACAGTGATGGCAGCAGGATGGGGACTGGCATCCCAAGAGCCATCCCAATGCTGATTCCACCCCTTATCCAGGCTATTCCCTGGATCACCTCGCTGTAGCTGGGAGGCTGAGGCAGCTCCGCCGGTGGCATAGCCAGATCCACACGGGTGGCACTGGGGACGATCAGCATGGCCTGGGAAACACCAGGATTATGGGAGACGCTTGGGATCACGGGATGCAGCTTTTGGGACCCATCCCTGGCACCCCCTCATCTTACCTCGTTGGAGCTGAGGCGGGTGGCCCGGCACCAGAAGTTGGCGGTGGCCACGGCGATGCAGAATTCCAGGATGGTGAAGATGAGCAGCACGATGGAAATCCCATTCCCTGCGAGCTCCAGGATGGGGAAAACCCCATCAGTCCCCCACCCCAGCAGCACCCAGGAGGATGAATTCCCACACAGGGCAACATTCTGTGGCTCCCCCTTCCCCTCCCTCCGCATTCCCAGCTCCAAGGTCTCGCTCCAAGCCCTCCATGCCGCCGTTTTTACGGCTCATGGATGCTTCCAGGGGGTGACTCATCTCCCAAGGTACCAACTGAAAATAGGTCGCGCCAGCAGAGGAGAAACCGCCATCCCAACAGGGATTTGGGAAAGGACACCACACCCCTGGAGGGCCGGAGAAAAGGCCCCAGGGGAATTCCCAGGGGCAGGAATTCCGGCAAGTGGGATTTTACCAGGACGAGATAGCTGTAGTAGTTGAAGCTGGAGCGGTAGAGCCCGTTGAGGTTGAGGTCCACAATGAAGGCCACGATTCCCAGGAGGGCAAAGATGGCACTGATGACGTTCATGGTCTGGCTGCCCTTCACCTGTGGGCACCCAGGGGGTTTTGAGGGGGGTGGCAGACCCCCCCTAAAACCCCAGAGGGACACCCCACCCACCCCACGGGATCATTCCCGGTGTGCTCCCGGAAAAACTCACCGCGCATTCCGTGGGGCTCTTCTCGGCGCCGATGGAGAGGCACCCGGAGATGATGAACTGCAGCAGGAGAGACGGGGCTCAGCTGGCACTGAGGGCACCCCAGGCACCCCAAACGTGCCCAGAGGTGGCACTAACGGGGCGCAGGGGACACAGTGACACCCCTGCCCTTGTTCTCAAGCTGCCGAGGCCTCAGGAGCCGCAGGTGCATCATTCCCGGTGGGCATCCCTTCCAGTGGGTGTCCCACCTGCTGGCATCCCCCCCAGCAGGATTCCCTTCCCTGTAGGCATTGTTCCCTGGCGAGACCCCCTTCCCGGTGGGCATCCCACCCCCCCCCAGGCATTCTTTTCCCGGTGGGAATCCCTTCCCAGCCCCCTGGCACGCACCGACACGCCGCCCAGGAAAGGGATCTCTCCGATGACGAAGACAGAGGTGTAGACATTGGTGAGCGTGGTCAGGACGATCCCGAAGCCGATGTGCAGGAATCCCGTCATAATCTGGATGGTCTGGAAGAGCGGGATGGGTTGGAATGGGGTCAACTCAAGCCCCCCCCGCCCACAGAGCCACCTTGGGGATGGGGGATGCCTTAATCCCAGAGCCTCTCCAGAGACACAGCACCCCCCGAGGGAACTGCAGGAATCCCCCGGGAAGGGGCTGAGGGGGCATTTTCCAAGCGTTTCTCCCCACGAACTCCCTCCGACCCCCCCAGACTCACCCCCATAACGCGGTTCTTGCCCTTGGGCAGGGTCTCCGCCGTGTACATGACGGCGCGGCTGCCCAGCCGGAGGCTCCCCATGCCCTGCATGAGGAGAGCGGGGGGCACCGGGACCCCCCGGAGCAGCCCCGGTCCCCACCGGGGCCGCCCCCGCCCCACCCCGCCACAGCCCGCGCCCATTGGCTGAGCACCGTGACGTCAGCGGCTGCGGCTTTCATCCCCCCCGGGGCACCGCCCAGCCCACGGGGGACACGGGGGGACGGAGGGGACAGCCCCCCAAAACCCGGGGAGGGCCGGGAAGTGGGGCTGCGTGGGGTGGGAAGATGCTCCGTGGGGTCCCCTGGCTCCGTGGGCAATTCCCAGTGTTGCCCCCTCGTTCCGGGCAGGGCTCCAGGGCACCGTGTTCCCCCCGCCGGGAAGAGCTGCTCATCCCAAACCCTCGCTACTCAAGGGAGTCAAGGAAATCGGGGTGCCAGCCCTGCCCTGAAAGCCCCCACTCCCCAAGCTGCGTGTGCCCCCCTCATTCCCGCTCCTTCCAGCTCCACGCCGGGTTTACAGGAGCCTAGAAATGGAAGAAAAAAATAAAAAAGAGAGAAAGGAGAAAAAAAAAAAAAAGAAAAGAAAAAAAAAATCAAAACCACCCCGCAGCGAATTCCTGGAAGAAAAATCCATCAAGGGCCATTAGGCTCCTGCGGCTCCGCCCCGCAGAGCGGGGGCACAGGCGGGGGCAGGGGCGGCACCAGGACGGAGCTGGGCACTGCCCAGGCGTGATTTCCCCTGCATCTCCTTCCCCAGGAAGGGGTGGACCTGAATATCCCGGACCCCTGCTGCAGGAGGGGAGGAGTAGAGGGGGTCCCCCACACTTTCCTCCCAAACTGTCTTCATTCCCCATTTTTAGGGCATCCAGCCCCAAGGAGAAGGAGCCAAGAGCTCCAGGCAGAGGATTAAACCTGAAATCAGGGAATAATGAACACCCCGGGAATGAGAGGGACACACGATACCACCCTGTACCCCAAAATTCATGGAGGACACCCCTGTATCCCATCCTGATCCCGACAACACCACACCCCCCTGCCAGGAATCCCTCATGGAGAGATCCCATCATGGGGGCCACAGGGAGGCTCAGAGCTGCCGATCCCGAGAGGAATCCGGGGCTCTGGGAAGGATCCCCATTTCCCTGGAGCAGGAACATTCCACAGGGAGGGAGAAGGGCCTGCTGCCACAGCCAGGAGCCCTCTGGCCAAGTGCAGGACGTTCCCGTGCTGGATGCTGTGGGAAGAAGCAGAATTGGGACTGGGGGGTGTCACCCAGCTCAGAGCAGGTGACAGAAAACCCATGGGGCTGACAGGGTCCCCTCACTGCCACCCTACACCCATCAGGGTCACACGGTGTCCCCATTCCTCACCTGCAGGGTGGTCCCCATCCCTGTCACCTCCGGGTGGTGTCACCATCCCTATCCCATCCCTGCCAGCGTGGGTCACCCCACAGCCACACCCCAGGACAGAAGCCAGCACCGAGAGCCACATGTGGCATGGTGAGCACACACAGGGCTGTGACAGGGATTTGGGGAGCCCCATGGTCCTTCTCCCCAGGGACGGCAGCCAGGTGCCCCAAACACCCCCTCACCCAGAGCATCCTGTGCAGGGCTGGGGCTGCCAGGAACAGCACAAAGCTCACTCCCCTGGGAGCCTCCTTGGGGATAGGGATGGAAAACCAGAGAGAACCAGCCCAAGTAATGGCTTTAACAGCTGGGAGGAGGGTGCTGGCCACAGGGGAAGCTGGGTGGGGCAGGCCTGTCCATTGCACCCACCTGGGGCTTGTTTCCAGAGTCTCCCAGGGATTTGATCCTGGACACTCTTCCCACCTTGCCCAGCAGGAAACTCTGTGAGGAGAGCGAGCCCTGCTCAGCAGCGACCAAAGCACCCGTGTGTGATCCACAGGCTTCCTATCCTGAATCTAAAGCCAACTATTGGGAAGGAAGGAACCCTCTTGTCACAGTGAGATGGCCCCACAGAGTACCACCACACAATTTCAGAAAGCTTCAACCCACACAGAGCAACACCTCACCACCTCAGAAGGCTGCAAGCATCTGCCCCCCCCCCCCCATTTGTTAGCCCAGCCTTTTATCCCCTCCTGTTGATGCCCTGCACCTGTGTGCCCTCTGCTCCCTTTGGGGGTTGCTCAGTGCCCCAGGGCACGCCCTGGCTCATTGCTGTCAGTGCTGCTCACAGCTGAGCCCATTGGGGATGAGGCTGAGCCCAGCCCCACTCCCAGTTACCACACTGTGTGCCTACACCCCATCCCAGCCCAAACTCGGTGCTGTGGGGAAATGCCGATTTATTTAAAACACAGCATCCTCAGAAGCATCTGAGCTGCCAGCAGGGGCCTCATCCTGCTTGTAGGAGCCCCCCGGAGGTGGGGGAACTCCAGCTCCCTTTGCTTCTGGAGGATCTTCGACTCGGAGCGGCTCGGCTGCCCTGCAGCGCTGTGGGAGCTGTGGGTCGGGCTCCAGGGGCTCCGGGACGCTTCCTGCTGTGCCGCCCGCCGCTGGGAGTTCCTCACGGGAGCAGGCCGCGCTCCCAGCTTCACTTCCAGGCTCTTCTTGGCCACGTGCATCCTCAGGGCCGAGCGGGCCCCGCTGATATCCGCGGAGCCGGCGGAGCTGCAGGACCTGTCCGAGGCCTCCTCAGCGTCCGGGCTCTGGCAGCTCCCGCCGGGGCTCTCGGAGCCGGGCAGGCTCTCGGAGGAAGGGGATGACGCTTCCCCCTGCCCCAGCCGCTCCTGGGATCGCCGCACTGCCAGGGGCTGGGCTCTCAGCTTCACTTCCAGGCTCTTCCTGGCCACGTGCATCCTCAGGGACGAGCGGCTTTTCCTCATGCCCGCGACTGTGAGGGAGCAGTGAGATCTGTCCATGGCGCCTTCTCCAGCCGGGTTCCGGCAGCTCTCGCCGAGGCTCCGGGAAGGATGGAGGCTCCCGGAGGAGCAGCAGGGCAGGTGGCCTTGCTCCAGCAGATGCTCCAGATCCTCCCACGACAGCTGCCACATCTCCGAGTCCCGCGGGAAGGACACCTCGGGCCACAGCGGCGTCACCAGGTCCTGCAGCTCCCGCGCCGCTGTCACACAGGGGGTGCAGCAGGGGCCGCAGCCGCAGGGGATGTACAGGGGGCTCTCCGGGGCAGCCAGGCCCTGGGGAGGGGCCCGGATCCCGAGGCGCTTCCGCGCCTTCCAAATGCGGGTGGCCAGCAGGATGGCCGTACTGGCCACCAGCAGGACGAGCGAGGGGAGCAGGAAACTCATGGCTTCATCCGTGTCCCATCGTGGCCGCACTGGGAACCAGGGGTGGTGGCACGTGTCCTGTAGAGACAGCGTGCTGATGTCACAGTGCTGCGGGTGGGACACCTGTGTGACATCACAGCCCCGCATCGCCCCGGCGCTCACCTCTTTTGTGACGTCACGGCCGCAGATTGCCCATCCTGAATCCAAACCCAGCGCTGTGCCAGCTGCTGGGAAGAATATGAAACCTATCCCTATAAACCAGCACACCAGCCCAGCACAAAGGCTAGGAGCACATCCAGGCCACTTCCAGCACCTCCCTCGGGACCCTCGGGGGTGTCCCCCGCCGGCGACCCCCGCCCGGTACGGGGCTGGGAACGGGATGCGCCGTGTTTCCATGCGGAACTAATGTCCCCACCGCGTTTCCCGGCCGGACCGCGGGCGGGGCGTGTTTGAGAACGGACCAATGGCGGCGCCCTTGCAGCACTTCCGGCGTGTCCCGGCGATGTGGCGATGGCGGCTCCCGGGGCTGCTGCGGGCCGGGGGAGGTCAGGGGGGCTTGGCCGCGCTCCGAGGGGCCGTCCGTGCCTTCTAGGGCGTTCAGACGGCCGGGGGGACCTTCCCGGGCGCCTGAGGCTGGCTGGGAGGGCTCGGGTGGGCCGTGGAAGGGCTGACACCGGGGAGGTACCGAGGGCTTGGTGGGACTCCCGGCTGGGCTGTGGTGGCTTGAGAGCGGGAAGGGGAGGCCCCGCGGGGTCCCTCCTCCCCTCCCGGCCCTGCCCGAGACCCCCCGCTCTGTCCCGCAGGTCCCGGCGGCGTCGCGGTTCCCCGGGCAGGGCTGAAGAAGTGGACGCTGCCCCCGGATTACAGTGGTGAGGGGGACGGACGGCGGGAGATCCCCGCAAGGGGAGGCGGGGGCACTTCCCGGTGTGTTCCTGGAGATCCTGGGGATGCTGATCCTGGTGTTCCCCGGCAGGGATCACCATCCCCGAGAAGCCGAAGCTGAAGTTCATGGATAAAGTGCCGGCGGTGCCCAAGGTCCGGCGGGAGCCGCGGCGGCTCCGTGACATCCGTGGCCCGTCCCAGGTGGCCACCGACTTCACGCAGGGGCAGTACGGGATCCTGGTGAGCGGGAACAGGCTCGGAACGGATCGGGGGGAGTGTTCCAGAGGCCGGGATTGCGTGTCCCTGAGCTGTCCCACCGTCTGCCCCCACAGGCTTTGGGCGGGGGGTACCTGCACTGGGGCCACTTCGAGATGATCCGCCTAACCATCGGGCGCAGCATCGATCCCAAATCCATGTTCGCCGTGTGGCGAGTGCCCGCCCCCTACAAGTCGGTGACGAGGAAAAGCCTGGGGCACCGGATGGGCGGCGGGAAGGGCCCTATCGACCGCTACGTGACGGCGGTGAAGAGCGGCAGGCTGGTGGTGGAGGTGGGCGGGCGCTGCGAGTTCGGGGAGGTGCGGCCCTTCCTCGACCGCGTGGCCCAGAAATTGCCCTTCCCGGCGGTGGCCGTCAGCCGGGAGAGCCTCCAGGAGATGCGTCGGGAGGAGGAGCAGAGGAGGCTGGACAACCAAAACCCCTGGACTTTTGAGCGTGTGGTGACCTCCAATATGTTGGGGATGAGGAAGTACCTGAGCCCCTACGACCTGCAGCTCAAGGGACGCTACTGGGGCAAGTTTTTCCTGAAGCACAGGGTGTGAGGAGCGGCTGGATGGGATTCCTTTTGGGATTAAACTTTTCCACAAGAGCCTGGAGTGGGTTTTGGAACTGGGAATGCAGGGCTGGGGGATAAATGGGTCAGGGTTTGAAGCACAAGGCTCTTTATCCTGAAGTGGATTTTAGGGCTGGGAGCATCCCAAGGGATCCATGGATCAGGTCAGAGCCAGGAGGCAGAGTGTGGGTGAGCTCTTTATTGAGGAGGAAGGCTCCAGCATGGGTGGCTGCACATCCAAGGAGCTCCAAGCACAGGGAGAGGCTCCTCCGGCCGCCCCGGCAAGGCAGAGCCCTGTATCCCCCCCCGGGAGGGACACGGCCCCTCTGGCCACTCTGTGCCACCGAGGAGGGGCTGCTTGTCACAGCGGCCACCGACTGTCACCCGAGAGGAGGAGGAGGAGGAGGGTGCTGGGAGGGCAGCAGGGAGCGCAGTGGGTGGGCTCCACTCCTCCAGGGACATGTGGGATGTCCTCAGGGATCGGGGCTGGGCCAGGGTCTCTCCCGTGGATCATCCGGGCAGGGGGGCAGGAGGGGGAAAGGCCACCTGTGACAGGGAGGAGGGTGAGGTGACACTCAGGAAGGGGACATGACTCCCAGTGCCATCCCCATCCCTCCCCAGCGTGGCACTCAGGGTGACTCCAACCCTGGCGAGGCCTGAACCCACTCCCTGGGACTGGGGGGCGCCAGGGACCCCCTGTGCCACCCCCAGCCCTGTCCCTGTCACCTGGAGGGCAGCGGGTGGGGGGCTCAGGCGAAGATGCTCCCGATGCTGGATGCCAGGATGATGGCAAGGATGATGCAGCACAACATGATCATGATCTTCTTCTGCTCGGGGAGACAGGGAATGTGAGGCAGGGACACGGCTGGGGAGGGGACAGGGACAGGGAATGGGCTGGGCAGGAGGACGGTATAAGGATGGAGCTGGGGAGGGGAGCAAGGAATGGGGAGGGGGACAACAAGGATATGGGCTGGGCAGTGGGGAGAAAGGATAGAGATAGGGCAAGGGACAAGGACAGGGGCTGGGGAGGGTGCAGGGAAGGTGGCAGGGCAGGTGTGAGCTGGTTCTGTGTGGCACAGGGAGGTGACAGTGCCAGCGTGCCCTGGGGCGGGTGACCAAACACCGTGACTTACCCAAAAACTTGGTGGGGGGGGGACAGTGTGGACAGGGCCCGGGAGCTGGGGGTGTCCCCAGCCCCGCGCTTCCTCCTCGTGTACTACAGCACCGGGAAACGGGGCCGGTGCAGCCCCCAGATCCCCGGGCACCGAGAGCCGAGCCGGAGCCGTGCCGGCGGCTTTGGGCGCTCCCGGAGCCAGCACGGAGAGGAGGCGCAGGGCGGGATCGGCGGGATTTTATTACAGCGGGAGTTAAATATCCGTGATCAACACATCCTCCCGCCCGGGCATCAAAGCCAAGAGGGGGTGGGGACAGCTCCGTCTGTCACAGCGCGGGGACAACAAACACGCTGGTGCCACCAAACCCCGTGTCCTGTCCCTATTCCCGCCCTCGTTCCACCGGGATGCCCGCGCGGGTGAGCGTCCGGCCCTTGGATTTGTGTCCTTGTCACTCCTCGCAGCGTCCCCACGGACGGAATCCTGTCCCCTTCCGTGGGGACGTGAGGGGCAGATCCCAGGGATTGGCAGGACGGGCGGGAAAGGCGGCGGTGTTGGAGCCGGCGGCGGGAACCGGGACACGGAGGGCTGGGAGCAGCAGGTCCGGGAGGAGCAGGGAGAGGAGGGGTCCAGGATCAGAGCCGGGGAGGATCCCGCCGGGAGGTGACATCGCTGGGAAGGTCGGGAGCGTCTGGAGGAGGGAAAGGGGAGCTGGAGGAAAGGGGACGGGGACTGCAGCAGGAAGGGGGGAGCGGGGATGGCAGAGATGGATGCAGGGAAGAGACAAAATCCAGAGCCTGGAGTAACACGGACCCCGAAAGAACACAGACCCTCAAGCACTGCAGACCCCCAAAAATGCAGATCCCAAACAGCACAGAGCCCTGAGCACCAGAGACTCCTGAGCATCACAGACGCCTGAGCACTACAGACCCCAAAAACACAGACCCCAGAGCACCAGAGACCCCAGACACTGCAGACCCTCACAGAACACCCCCAGCACCGCAGACCCGAGATCACCAAAGCCAGAAGGCAGCACCCCCAGCCCCAAACCCCAAAGCACTGGAGCCCCCAAAGCAGGAGATGGCATTGGGATCCCCCAGGGCTCTGTGTCCCTGCAGTGGGGGTCCCCTGCCCCCCAACACTTACAGACCCCCGCCCCAGGGGCTATTTCGTGTTCAGCCCCACCGAGAGTCCAATGATGAGGGCAACTGTCCCCAGCAAGAGCACGGCCACTGCCACCAAAGTCAGCAGCTTCTGGGGGAACAGGGGCGAGTTGGGGGTGGTGACACCTGTCCCGTGTGGGGGGCCACGGGGGCACCGAGGTGCTGCAGAGCCCTGGAGATGGGGCAGGAGGGGCTGAGTCCTCACCAGTTCATCACACCTGAGGGTGGGAGGGGGCTCGGGGGGGGCAGTGGGACAGAGAGGGACAGAGCTGCCAACCTCCCATGGAGTCACTGGGGGCAGGTGGGAGTTGTTGGGGTCAGCTGGGGGATAGGAGGGGTGGCTGAGGGGGACAGGAGGTGACTGAGGGAAATAAAGGGATCTCAGGGCTGCTGGAGGATATGGGGAGGTGCTGGGAACACTGGGATGTGAAGGCACAATGAGGGTCAGAGGGGACAACACTGGGAGTACCTCTGGAATGCTGGGGGGTGCAGTGGGGACATTGGGGGGTGCAGAGGGCACATTGGGGGCTATGCAGGGGACAAGGGGCTGTCGGTCTGTCTCACCCTCCTGGCCTCACTTTGGTACTTCACAGCCTTTTTGGTGTCAGCCACGGCCCGTTCCACGAATCCCACGGACTGGTCCATGTTGTTCTCTATGCGGTCGATCATGGCTCCCTACGGAGCACCCGGGGGACACAGAGAGAGGGGGGGACACTGAGAGCACCCCGGGGTGCTGGCACCCACCCACCTGGCACCGGATCGTCTCTGTGCTCTGCTCCAAGTGTTTGGCTCTGCATTATCCAGCAGCCCACCCTGGGGGAGAAGGGACAGGTGACACGGTGAAGACACAGTGACACAGCCCCACAGCACGTGGCAGGCCCACACACGCAGGTACTCACCCATCCCTGGGGCATACAGCGGCTCCTCGCATGGCATGGGGGACAGAGAGGGGCTGAGAGAGGGGACAGCGCCACCACAGAGTGGGGGACACGCCTGTGTCCCCTCCAGGCCACCACGGGGTGGTGGGTGGCTCCATGGGAACACGTGCAGTGGTCACACCCCAGCCCATATTGCTCCATGCCTGGACCCCCCTGTGCAGGTCCCTGGGCCACTCCATGGTCCCATGCAGGTCCCTGTGACCCCACACTCAGGTCCCTGCTTGTCCCTGGTTACCCTGTGCACAGGTCCCTGCTCGTCCCTGTGACCTTGTGCCCAAATCCCTCATGGCTCACATCCATGTCCCCATACACAATGGGGTCATCCCTGTGACCCCATACCCAGGTTCCTCCTTGTCCCTATGCTCAGGTCCCTGTTCACACTGCCCACAGGCCCCTGCTCATCCCTATGACCCCATGGCCAGGTCCCTGCCTGTCCCTGTGACCCCACGGCCAGGTCCCTGCGTGTCCCCGTATCCCCATGGCCAGGTCCCTGCCTGTCCCTGTGACCCCATGCCCAGGTCTCCGCTTGTCCCCATGTCCCCACAGCCGGGTCCCTGCGTGTCCCTGTGTCCCCATGGCCAGGATCCTGCATGTCCCCATACCTGGTTCTCCACCAGCATGGCAATGTCCACGAACATGTCGTGGAGCTCCTTGATGCTGCTCTCCAGGCGCACGATGTCCTTGTGCCGCCCCTCGATCTCGCTCAGCGCCTGCTTCGAGATCTGCGAGTCCATGATCTATGGGGACAGGGACAGGGACACGTCAGCAGGGAGGCCTGGCCCTGGGACACACCCCCGTGTTCCCCCGTGTCCCCCACGTCAGGGCTCACCCCCGAGGTGAAGATGGAGGGGTTGCCACTCTCCAGCATCTCCTCCAGCTCCTCATCCGTCGTGTTCTTGCCGGCTGTGGGCACGTGGGGAGAGGTGGGAACAAGCCCCGCCCAGTCGGGATAAGGGGCGGGGTCTGTATGGTCTGGCTCCTCCCACTTGACTAAACTTGGTCAAATGTGAGTGGCCTGTGTGAGTTGGCTCCTCCCACTTCATGGAGGAGGTGGGGTTTGATCCCGGGGCTCTGGGTCACGCACTGATTTCCAGCTGGCGCTGGATCCGGCCCTTGCTCCGCTCCCGGAAATCCACCTGCGCCTCGTTGTACTTGGTCATGACATCCACGAACTTGCGGGACAGGACCGAGTGCTGGGGACAGGGACAGGGGCATGAGGATGGGGACAGGGACACCCAGGGCATGGTGGGACCCTGGGGGACTGGACCTGGTCCTGGGGACAGGGACATGGAACATCCCAGGCATGGCATATCCCCATGGGCCACTCTCACAGGGGACAGGAGTGACAACAGAGATGTGACACTGCCCAGGGGACAAGATGAGGGGCTGGGGGTAGGGATGGGAAATCACATCAGTGACACTCTGGGCATGGCGTGTTCCTGGTCCCAGGATGGACAGGACAACATGATGGGAGTGGGGACAGTGGCACGAGACCCAGGGGACCTGGGATGTGGCATGTCCCAGCACAGGGCAACAGGACAGAGGGCTGGGGACAGGGCAGAGGGACACTAATCCTGGGATCACAGAGTGCTGTTGGGGACCCCTGGATATGCCACATCCCCAGCTCGTGGGGGGCAGGGTGGGACCTGGGGACACTGGCCTGAGCTCACCTGGGACTTGCGTATCCGGAGGTCGGCGGAGGATCGTGCCTCGTCCTGCTCGATGTTCCTCTCCATGCCTAGAGAGAGACAGACCTCAACCCACCAGGAACCTTTCCCACTGCCAGCCCCCATGGTCCCAGAGTGCCAGGGGGACAGGGACACCCATGACACGGTGGTGGGGACAGGGCCACTCACTCTTCAGCTTGTTACGGACACTGTTGGCCATTTTCTTGATCTCTGTCGTCAGCTGCTCCAGGTCATCTTTGGTCTCTGCGGGATCACAGGTGTGAGCCACCGTGGGAATGTCCCCAGGGAGGGTCCCTGTGACCAGGGGAGGCTGTGGGGACACTGTGACAGCACTCACTCTGCTCTGGGATGGGGGCTGAGAGGATGATGCTGTAGAGCTTCTTGGCTTCCTCCACGTTCTCCGAGATCTTGTCGATGTTCTGCCGGGTCTCCTCAATCTGGGCAGGCCCGGGAGGATTTTGCGGGGGTTAGGAGGCAGCCCTACACCCCCCAGTCCCACTCCCAGCCCTCCCTCACCTCCGAGAAGAACTCATCCATGAAGGCCGTGTTGTCCACGGCGATCTCCAGCTCCTCCTCATCGTCTGCATCCTGCTTCTGTTGGGATACAGTGCTCAGGGGGGACCCTGTACCCTGCCAGCACCCCCAGACCCCCCCCCCGGGGTGACAGGGGCACAGGGGGAGCAGCCATGGGGATGTGGTGGCACAGGGGGGACATCTGCAGCGGGGGAGAGCAGGGGGGGCCAAGCCCAGCTCACATCTGGCCACACGTGGCTGGGAATTAAGGGATTGCTGGGCTCGGCCAGAGGGAGGGAACGGGGACAGCCATGGGATGGGGACAGGACAGGGTTTATGTCCCAAACCATGGCCCCACAGCAGGTCTGGGGCAGCCCTGGGGGGCACGAAGGTGGCTGCTGCCCCTCACCCTGGTGTCATGCCCAGTCCCCCCTCCATGTGCTCCCAAATCCAGCCCTTCCCAAATCTCGACCTCAGCCCTTCTGCCTCCCCTCACCCCCTCAGCTCCACCAGTACCCCGGGGGTGCTGTTGGGGTGTCCTGGAGATGGGGACAGACCCCAGGCTGGGACCCCCCACCCCCCTCCTCCTGCTGCTGGAGTAAAAATAAAATTAATCCCTTCGCTCCCCCCCGAGGGCTTTATCTGATGGCTCCATAATCCCGCTAAATCCCTGCCAAGCCTCCCTGCCATGCCTAGGGGCCCGGCCGGGAGCTGGGGGCCTGCTGGGACCCCCACGGACCGAGGGGAGCAGGGGGAGCCCCCCAGGAGTGCCTGGGGGGAAGTGGGGCCCCAGGCAGAGCGGAAAAGGGAGAAGGAAGCGGCGCTGGTGGCGGGAACACGGGAACGTGTGGGGTGCAGAGTGGGGAAGTGTGGAGTGCAGAGTGGGGTGTGGGCACCCCAAATCCACCGCCATCCCTGCGGGATGGACACCCCACACAGGCCAGGGGGTGCACCCCACGGTGTGGGGAGACAGGACTCGGCTGGGGAGGTCACGTCACCCCAAAACACCCACCGTGCCCCCAAACCTCACAGGGATGACCCCCCAGGCCCTCCCAGTTGACCCCCCGGTTGGAGGCAGACTCAGGGGGCCCCACCTGCCGTGGGGTCACCCCCATGACACCCCATGCACAGCAGGGTGGGGTCTCGGTGCCATCCCCCCCGTGGTGTCCCCACCCACCATGGATTGGGGTGTCCCTGAGACCCGAGCCCACCATGGGATAGGGCCTGAGCTCCCCCCATCCCCGTGACACCCCCAGCACCGTGGGGTGGCGTTTCGGTGACATCCACTCCGTGATGTCCCCATCCACACAGACTTTGGGGTCCCCTCTCCCCGTGATGCCCCTGCCCACCATGGGGTGGGGTCTCGGGGACCCCCATCCCAGTGTCACCCTTTTCCTGAGGGGTTCCCCTGGGGGTGTCCCCTGTCCCCTGCCCGCGCCGGGGGTCCCTCACCGCCTTGAGCTGCTCCAGCCGGTCCTTCATGGTGCCCCCGGAGGCTGGGGGGGCGCGGGGGGTTCCCCGTCCTCGCCCAGCGCAGGGATGGGCGATGTCACCCTCGGTCCTCGCCGCTCGGCCAGGCCTCCTACATCCAGGCGAGGTGGCGGGTGGCCCTGTCCCCTGTGCCTGTCGCCAAGCCCGGGGCTGTCCCTGCGCTAATCCCCAGTGACGGGCACAGGGAAGGCGCCGAGGGGAGGGACGAGCTGGAGCCGCCCCTTCACCTGGGACACGCGGGGACACCGGACCTGCCGCAGGCGGCGGCTGGGGGTGGCCCCCGGGCCCCCCGGGAGGTGACAGAGGTGGGCTAGGGTGTGGGTTTGGAGGCCATGAGGAAGCTAGTCCCCCTCGGGGGTCACACGGTGAGGACGTGTCACCCCCTGCCACGTGTGGCTGCAGCGGGAGCACGGCTGGGGACAGGGAGCACGGCTGGGGACACGGCTGTGGGTGTGGGTCACAGCTGGAGACACGGCAGTGGGTGTGGGTCACAGCTGGGGACATGGCTGGGTTCGGGGAACACGGCTCGGGGGAACGAGGCTGTGGATAGGAGTCACATCTGGGGACACAGCTGTGGATTCGGGACGCGGCTGGGGGACACGGCTGGGCATGAGCAGGCACGGGGGACAGCTTGAGGACACGGCTTCAGTTAGGGGACACAACTGAGCGTCGTGACTGGGGAAAGGGGTCCCAGCCTGGGGAGGCACGGCTGGGGACAGGGGACACGGGTGGGGGACATGGCTGTGGATGGGACACGGCTGAGGACAGGGCTGGGCGGGCACTGCTGCGGCTGTGAATGGGGTGACACTGGCTCTGGGCGTGACACTGGGGGTCACGGCTGCGGGCGGGGTCATACGACTGTCACCGCTGTGCGCGGGAGAAAAAGGGACACTGCCCCTTTAAAACACACAGGAGAAGGGGGCGTGGTCTATAGTGAGCGTGGTCCGACTTGGCCCCGCCCCACGCGCACCGGGCGGGTGGGACGCGGGGCGGTGGCGGCGATAACGTCATGCGGCTGCGCCCGCGGCGGCGCATGCGCGGCGGGGCCCGGGGCCTGGTCGGGCGGCGCGGAGCCTGCGGGCGGGGGGCGCCGGCGCCGCCATGTTCCGGTACCCGGTGAGCGGGGAGGGGCTGGGGGGGGGCCGGGGCGGGCGGGGCCCCGCGGGGCCTGCGGTAGAACCCTGCTGGGACGGCACCGGGGCGGTGTAACGGGGTGGGGGGGGTATAACGGGCTGGGGCGGGGGAAGTAAAATGAGTTGGGGAGGGCGGCTGCAGAGGGGGTCTGAGGGGCTGGGAGGGGGCTCCAGGGTGGCAGAAGGAGTCTGGGGGACACTGGGGACCTGGAACGGACTGGGGGAGCCTATAACGGGAGGGGTCACTCTCTAGGTGTGGAGGGTCATTGGGGAGATGTAATGGCTTGGGGGAGTCACTGCATAGGAATAATGGGTTGGGGGGATTCCCAGGGGTGGATAATGGAACTGGGGGGGATATCGCTGGTGGGGGGTTGTATTGTATAGGTATAATGGGCTGGGAGAGCGTCAGGGAGGTCCAGTGGGGCTGACCCTGTTCCTGGCTGTCCCAGTCCCTGGAGGACTGCCCGCTGGACGAGGATGAAGATGCCTTCCAGGCCCTGGGGGAGGAGGATGAAGACATCGACCAGTTCAACGATGACACCTTCGGGGCCGGTGCCGTCGGTGAGACCCTGCGTGTCACCCCCAGAGCTTCCTGACCCACAGGTGCCCCCGGCCCACGCCACTCACCCTGTGCCCCCTCACAGATGATGACTGGCAGGAGGCCCACGAGCGGCTGGCGGAGCTGGAGGATAAGGCCAGCTCGAGCCGGGAGCCGGATGGTCCCGTTGGGAATGACGGGGACGTCCTGGGCGATCCCGAGGACGCGCTGGCCGAGCGGCTGACGCGCCTCGTCATTGACAGCGAGCTGGAGGACCCAGCCATCATGCAGGCCGTGCACACCAGGGATCCCCCGCAGGTGGGAGCAGGCTGGGGGATCCACGGGGATGTGGGGATGGATCCCATGGCACTGTCCTGACTCTCCCTGTGCTCTGCAGCAGCCTGGAGGGCTGAATTCCAGCATCTGGGACAGCTCAGCCATGCTGCGGCGCATCCGGGGGCCGCTCCTCGCTCAGGTAGGGTGCTGGGGGGCAGGGGTCTCTTCCCTGCTGATCCCAAATGCCTGTGGGAGCCTGCTGGGTGGGATAGACTGGTCCTGGGATAGTGGAGTGTCCTGCTTCCCTCCTGTGTGTCTGTGACTTGTGGGGGACCCTCATAGCTGTCACCGCTCAGACCCTGGAGGGGTGGGATGATGGAGTTCTGCTGTTCTGGGATGTCTGGTGATGTCTGAGGGATTTCAGGGCTCCTAGCCGGATTTGGGAATGTTGATGCCTGGAGGCAGAGGATTTTTGTGTTGTTGTGGTTTTATTAAGAGTCAGGCTTTGAAGTGCTGTGTGTCCAACCCTCTGCTGGCTCTGCCGGGCTGGGAGGTGACCCAGAATTCCCGCCCCACGCCCTGTTATCCCAAACGGGACGCTCTCAGCAGTCTGGGTGCTCTGGGAATGCCCAGCCTCACGTGGAGATCCCAGGGAAGCTCAGTGGGAGGTGGAGAGCTGGCAGGAGGAAGGGGGGACACCGACCCTTGTCCGTGTCCCAGCCTGTGGCTCCAGGGGGGTGTCCCTCCCGTTCTCCTGCAGGAGATGCCGTCGGTGTCCGTGCTGGATTATGCCCTGCCCCAGAGGCCTCCGCAGGCTCGGGATGAGGAGCGGGATCCCTCGGAGCGGGCGCTGCCCCGGCGCTCCTCCTCCCCCATCATCGGGAGCCCCCCAGTCCGGGCCATTCCCATTGGCACCCCCCCCAAACAGGCTGCCATCCCAAACTTCAACCAGCAGGTATCTCCTCGCTTCCCAGCTTTCCACTGCTCCTAAGGGTGCAAGCTGCTTCCCAAGGGGAGTGACTGTGCCACTTGTCTCCCCCCAGATCCTGTGTCCCAAACCTGTCCACATCCGAGCTACCATGCAGCAGCGTTATCCCGCTCCCTATGGAGAGAGGATGTCCCCCAACCAGCTCTGCAATGTTCCGGTATCCAGCTTTCCCTCCTCCATCTTTTTGGGGATTGATGACCAGTCCTCCCAAAACCTCCCTGTAGTCCTGTGGCTGGTCCCCACCCCATGGAGCTTGGCCATCCTGGGGTTTGTCCCATCTGCCAGTCATGGTCTGTGACTGGGGTCCCTTTTCCCAACTCTTTCCCCAGAATTCCTCCCTCCTGGGCCACCCGTTCCCCCACAGCGTCTCTCCCGTCCTCACACACCTGCAGAGAGCCCAGCTGCTCGGAGGAGCCCAGGTAAAGCTCCTTCCTGTGCTTTATCCCACCTTTCTCTCTGCGTGGCTCCAGGACCTGGCACTCCATGGCTCTTACTGGCCATCCCAGATCCTTTTCCCGCCTGGCTGACTCCAGGTGTCCTCTCTGCCCCCGCAGGCCGGCCGAATGTCCCCCAGCCAGTTTGCCCGTGTGTCGGGGCTGGTGGGGAGCCCACTGCCCTCGGTGAACCCCAAGCTGCTCCAGGGCAGAGTTGGGCAGATGATGTCCCCGGCCGGAGGGTTCCGTGCCTTTTTCGGGGCTCCCCCGGCCCCGCCCCCCTCGCAGCTGCCGCACCCTCCGGGCCCCGGATCCCACCTGCAGAACCTGAGGTCGGTGCTATCCCTGTCCCAGCGTCCCAGCTGCTCCCTGCCTCCCTCCCTGACCGTTCCTGCCCTCCCCAGGCCGCAGCCCCAGATGTTCCGGCCAGACACGACCCACCTGCACCCGCAGCACCGCCGGCTCCTGCACCAGCGGCAGCAGCAGAACCGCAAGTGAGTGCGGGGCCGGGGCCGCGCGGCACGGGGACGTGTCCTGCTTCCGGGGTCACCTGTCCCCCCTCTCTGTCCCTTCCTGTAGCTCCGGTGTGCTCACGGGTGCCCTTCTTCTCCTGCCAGCCAGCACCGGAGCCTCAACGGCTCTGGGGGGGACCGAGGGGGCCACCGGAGCAGCCATCAGGAGCAGATCCGTAAGGATCCCTACGCCAACCTCATGCTGCAGCGGGAAAAGGACTGGGTGTCCAAGATCCAGATGATGCAGCTGCAGAGCACTGATCCCTATCTGGATGATTATTATTATCAGGTACTCGGAGCAGCATCTTCCCCCTGGCCATTGGATATTGGGTGGGAAGGGGATGTCAATCCAGGGAGAAGGGCAGTGGGTTGTCTTCCTCCCTGGAAGAGGAAGGCAAAGGGACAGGGTGGGATCAGCGTCCCTGGGAACAGCTGACTCCTTTTTGGGTGAGATTTCCAGGAGTGAGATGTTGGGGTACACTGGTTTCATAGGTCTGGGATAACAGAAGAGCAGCTCCTCTACATCAGAAGTGTGACAGAGCCAGGATAAAACCCCTGGAATGAGACAAGGGAGATGCTAAACTCAAGAGAGATCCTTGTCAGGGAAAGGCTGACTTTGGTCTGACTGGGAATGGTGGTGATGAGCCCTGTGGGAATCCAAGCAATGTAGTGGAGAAGGTGGATAGGGAAGGATTGCTCCTGCTTTTTTCCAGTTTGGGAATAAGGAATGTCAGACAGTGCTGGGAAAGGCCAGACTTGGAGCAGATGGAGCAAGGTGGACTGTTTGAGGATCCCCAGGGAGAGAGGGAAATGTTTGGGATGGACATTGGGAGACTGAATGGGGTGGGAGAGCTATGGCTCCTCTCCTGAGCTGGCAGAGTTTTTTTTGGGATCTATGGGTGAGCTGGTCCCAGTAGAGAAGAGGAACTGGTGCAGGATGTGAGTCAGCAAAGCTCTGCCGTTACAAAATGGGGTGGATGGGGTGGGGAGGTCCCGGCATGGTGCCAGTGGAGCAAGGCAGGCTAACTGGGATGTGCTGGGAAGGACTGGGAACCGCACACGGAGAATGGATTTGTCATTGTCCTGAGAGAGGGCCGAGGAGGAGCCTCAACCTCTGTCATCCTGAGGGATGGGAGAGGAGGATGGTCTCAGCTGTGGCTTAAATGATGATGTTGAGAAGATGATGGAGCTAAGGACAGGAAGATTTCCAATGGCTTTTTGGGAGAAGGCACTCAACATTTCCTCTCCCTGCCTCAGAATTACTTCCAGAAGCTGGAGAAGTTGGCAGCAGCCGAGGAAGTGCACGGTGACGGTCCCAAGAAGGAGCGCACTAAACTCATCACCCCTCAGGTGGCCAAGCTGGAGCACACCTACAAGCCAGGTAAAGCCCTCCAGCTGCCCCAGGGCTCCTTTTATCCAGGAATTGAGGGGACTCATCCCTCGGCTTCCCTGCTCCCTCCTTCCTGCAGTGCAGTTTGAGGGCTCGCTGGGAAAGCTCACCGTCTCCAGTGTCAACAACCCCCGGAAGATGATTGACGCCGTGGTGACGTCCCGCAGCGAGGATGATGTGAGTTCCTCCTGGCCTTCCTCCCTTCCAACAGCCCTGTGGCTGCTTCCCACAGCCCTGATTCCCTCTTCCCTCCCCGGCAGGAGACGAAGGAGAAGCAGGTTCGGGATAAGAGGCGACAGACTCTCGTCACCATTGAGAAGGTGAGTTTAAGGGGGATCATCCCGACCCTCAGAGGTCCATGGTGGGATAAAAAGTGTGCCAGCCCCACCATTCCATTCCATGGTTCTCTGAGTGATCCATGCTTCCTGCAGACGTACAGCCTCCTCCTGGACGTGGAGGACTACGAGCGCCGCTACCTCCTGAGCCTGGAAGGGGAGCGGCCAGCCCTGATGGGAGAGAGGAAGCAGAAGATATGTGACATGTATGACAATCTGAGGGGGAAGGCACCTGGGCAGGACAGGTGAGCGGGATTTGGGAGCTCCAACACTCTGGGACCACTGAAACCAGTTTTCCATGGATCTGTTTGGCTCTTGCAGGGGGCTGAAGTAACCTTTTTTTAGCCATTTTACCTTCACTGTGGTTACAAAGTTACGACTTCCATCCTCTCCCTCTGGCAGAGTTGAGGATTAGGGATGTCTTTCCCATGTAGTTTTTCCCACCTCAGGGATGTTTTTTCAGGCACACCATGTGTGTTTTCCACCTGGTGCTGGGGCAGATCCAGCCATGGGATAACCCTGGGATGCTCCCAGGTGAGGGTTGACACCTTCCTCCCTCCCTACTCAGGCCGAGTGATGACCACTTCATGCAGATCATGTGCATCCGGAAAGGAAAGCGCCTGGTGGCCCGGATCCTGCCCTTCCTGGCTCCAGAGCAAGCGGCCGATGTGCTCATGGCCACGGCCAGGAACCTGCCCTTCCTCATCAAGAAGGATGCTCAGGATGAGGTGAGCTTCCAGAGGCTGGGAGGGTCTTCAGGGTGGCAGTTCCTGCCTTTGCTGGGAGGCAGGAAAGGTGCCAGAGGTTTGGAGGGGCTGTGTGGGAGAAGCTGTTTGCAATTCCAACCAGGCACAGGGAAAGGTGAGGAGCTCCCAACTGTGTTCCTTTCTCCACAGGTGCTTCCCTGCCTCTTGAGGCCCTTTTCCCATGTCCTCTACCACCTTCCCTTGGGAACAGTCACCAGCCTTGTGCAGCAGCTCACGAACCTACCTCAGAGCGCCGCCGCTCCCACCAACCTGCACCTCACTGCTGTGCTCCAAAACAAGGTGCTCCTCATTCCCACCCCTTCCCAGTCTTGGGAATTGCTCCAGCAGCCTCTCAGCACTGGGGTGTTCCCCTCGCTAATTAACAAGGGTGTCTGGCACATTAATTAACGGTCTGAGGTGGCCCCGGGCTCTACTTCAGCCTGGCAGCAGCTTCTGGGTCTGTCCCACTGTGCTCCATGCTCCAGTCCTGGAATTTGGGAATTTGCTCCAGTAAATCCCTCCTGGGCTGGGAGTGGTCTGTGGCCTTTTCTTCCTCCTCCTGCAAAGGCAGCCAGGGATCTTCCTGCTCATGCCAGCATTCCAGGAGGGTTGGGTAGTGTTGGGGATTCTCCAGCTCTCTCAATGAATGCTTGGAGGTGACTGATCCCCTCCCTGTTCCCACAGTTTGGTCTGTCCCTGCTGTACCTGGTCCTGAGCCGAGGGGAGGAATTGCAGAGCTCGGACACGAACACAGAGCTGATGCAGGACAACCAATGGTAACTCCCTGTCCTGGGCTGGGATGTTCCTGCCTGGACTGTCACCACATTCCCAGCCCTTTGGGGTGGAAAAGGCAGCCTCCATGCTCCTGGAACCCCCACAGCTCTCACTGCTCCCTCCTCCCTCCCGTTTTTCCGGCAGGACGGAGCTGATGCTGATGGCGACCCGGGAGCTGCTGCGGATCCCTCAGGGAGCCTTGGCAAAGCCCGTGTCCATCCCCTCCAACCTGATCTCCCTCTTCTCCCGCTACGTTGACCAGCAGAAGCTGAACCTGCTGGAGACGAAATTGCAGTGAGTGCCAGCCCTCTTTTCCCATGGGAATGTGGCCCTGTGCCACCAGGGGACTGGGAGAAAGGGGAAACCAGAGGTGGGGGTGCAGCTGGAGAAGGATTGGAGTGGGGAAAAGCAGCTTGGGGAGAGGGGAATTGCTGCCTCCCTCTGATCTCAGCACTGATGTTCCCTGGTTCCAGCTTAGTGCAGGGGATCCGGTAGATCTCCGTGGCTCCTCGCCACCACTGGAATGTTCCAGAGGAAGGAAGGAAGGAAGGAAGGAAGGATGGATGGATGGAGGGCACACGGTTCACCCCACACCTCCCCCGACGCCCGGCCTGGCACATGGGGCGCATCTGCCCCCCCAATCCCTGGATCAGCAGGAAGAGGGGGATGTTTGGCTGCTCCCCCCTTTCCCACAAAGTGCTGCCTTTCCCTGCTGCTCCCAATTTCCCCACGACTCCCTCTGCACCCCAGAATCTGCTGCTTCCCCCCCAAACACACACACACACACACACACACTACTGAGGATCCCGGGGAGCAGGGAGCCCCTCGCTCCACATCCATGGCCAGGGGTTCTCTGCTCGTTCCCTGCTCCTTCTCCAGCCCTTTCCACAAGCACTGAGCTCTGCTTCCTGCCCTTCCCCACACTTCACACACTTGTTTCGCACACTTGCCTCGTCTTCCCAAAATTCAGCTCCTTCCCTCTCCCCGGGATCAGCCCAGCAGCTCCGGGGCGAGGGGCACAGCCGGGTCTCTGTCCCCTCCGGATCAGATCCGGGTGGCTTCAGCTGTGCTGCTCCTCGGGAAGGTGGTGGTGGTGGTTGGGGGATAAATTTACTTTTTTTTTTTTTTTTTTTTTTTTTTTTTTTTTTTTTTTTTTTTTTTTTTTTTGCTTTTAAAAAGAAAAAAAAAAAAACCAAGAGATTTGCACATCTAGGGATTTTACACCCCGGAATTCTTCCTGGCATTAACCAGCCCCTTCTTCTGCTCCCACCCCTTTCCCTGTCCTTTTTCTCTGACAGAACAAGTGGAGAGTTCATTTATTATTTTTATTTTATTTTATTGCTTTTTTTCCTGCTTTTTTTTTTTTTTTTTTTTTTCTTTTTTCCCCTCTTTTTTGCTTTCTTTCTTAATTTCATTTGCTTGCAGTAATTTTTTTTTGTTTGGTTTTTTTCCCTTCCCCGTCCCTCCCAGTTTTTGGTTCTGGTTAATGAGAATAAAGTTTCTAAATTTACATTTTTATAGGGTATTGTAAATAAAGATGAATTGTATACGGCTGCCAGCCTGGCCTTTCCTTCTCTGGCCCGTGCCACTCCCTGCGCGACCCGGCCGTGTCCCCGCTCTGTCCTCTGGGGGGGTCTCGAACCCTCGACCCCCGGGAGTTCCTCCGTGGGCAGCGGGCAGGGGCGTGGTTACACCTCAGCCAATGGCAGCGTGCCTGCTGCGAAGCCCTGCCCCTCCGCCAATCACTGGCGGGTGACTCACCGCTCGGCGTCAGCACGCGCGGCGCGCAGCTCTCACCGTCCATTGGCTTCCTTCTTGATTGATAGCCGAGGAGTCCGCTCTCGACCAATCGCAACGCGTGAACCGCCCCGCCGGCGCTCGGGCCGCCAATGGGGGGCGGACGTGGGCGGGGCGAGTGACGGCAACGCGGCGGGGCGGTGGCGGCGGCGGCGGCGATGGCGGAGCTGCGTGCGGCGGGCGCGGGGCCCGGCCCGGCCGCGCCCCCCGGGCCCGCGGCGCTGCCCGCGGCCCCCGGCGCGCCCCCGGCCCTGCCCTCACCGGCGGCGAACGTCGGGGCGGCGCCCGCACCGACGGCGGCGCCGGCGGCACCGACAACGTCGGCGGGCGGCGGAGCCGGCGCGGGCGGCGGCGGGGCCGGTCCCGGCTCGGCCCGTGAGGGTTGGCTCTTCAAATGGACCAACTACATCAAGGGATACCAGCGCCGCTGGTTCGTGCTCAGCAATGGGCTGCTCAGCTACTACCGGTACGCACCGGGAGCCGCCCCGCCGCCCCCCGGGCCCCCCGTGACCTTGGCACCGGGCTGAGCCCCCGCGGCGGGAGGGAAGCGGGTGGGGGCCTCCCGCACCGAGCGGGGCAGCGCTACGTGCCCCGCTGCCAGCTGGGAAGGAGGGCCGCTGTCACCTCCCTGTCCCCGCGGCTGTCACCTCCGTGTCACGGGGGATGTCACCTCCCGGTCACCGGGGCTGCTCTTGCCGGGGCAGGGGGTTGTTAGCCCTCTCCCCGCCGCCCCACTGTGCCACCAGGAAAGGGGGGCGGTTGTCACATCCCGGTCCCCGTGGTTGTCACCTGTCTGTCCCCGGGATTGTCACATCCCTGTCCCCGTGGGTATTTGAGGGGGCTGGGGGCGGGGGTCTGCAGACCCTTAGCCTTCCGCAGCTCCCGGATCCCGTTGTCCCTCCCAGCGGCTCTTCCCGGTGGCCTCGTGTGTTGTCACCCGCGGGGACACCTGAGCCTGGCCGGGGGGGCCTTGTCGCTCCATTATTGATGGGGAACCGGGGAACCGGAGCCTCGGGCAGCTGCCGGCTCCGGTTACACCGCCACCAACGGGGGGGCGCCGGGCCGGGGGTGTCCCGGCTGGATGTCACCTCTGTCACCCGGTGACGTGGAAGGGGAGTGCCAGCCTGGCGCGGCCTCGCTGGGACTTCACCCTCGTCCCAGCCCGTGCCAGGATCCGGGAAGCACCGGATCCCTGAGGCTCCAGGATCCCCGAGGCCACTCCTGGGAGCTGTGGATTTGTCCCCCCAAAGCGCCATCCCCAGGCTTGGCCCCGCTCCGGCGCCAGCAAACCCTCCCTATTAATAGCCCTGGCTGCCGGGCTGGGAATGCCGAGCCCCCTGCACAGCCCCCCGCGGGCTCATCCCGAGGATCCCAGCCCTGTCCTTCCCTCAATGCAGCCCCATCCCAGGGATCCCAGCCCTGTCTTTCCCTCATGCAGCCTCGTCCCGGGAATCCCAGCCCTGTCCTTCCCTCAGCACAGCCTCATCCTGGGGATCCCAGCCCTGTCCTTCCTTCAGCACAGCCTCATTCCAGGCATCCCAGCCCTGTCCTTCCCTCATGCAGCCTTATCCCAGGGATCCCGGCCCTGTCCTTCCCTCATGCAGCCTTATCCCAGGGATCCCAGCTCTGTCCTTCCCTTAGCACAGCCTCATCCCGGGGATCCCAGCCCTGTCCTTCCCTCATGCAGCCTCATCCCGGGGATCCCGGCCCTGTCCTTCCCTCAGCACAGCCTCATCCCGGAGATCCCGGCCCTGTCCTTTGCTCACCATGGCCTCATCCCAGGGATCCCAGCTCTGTCCTTCCCTCAGCACAGCCTCGTCCCAGGGATCCCATCCCTGTCCTTCCCTCACTGCGGCCTCATCCCAGGGATCCCGGCCCTGTCCTTCCCTCACTGCGGCCTCATCCCGGGGATCCCAGCCCTGTCCTTCCCTCACTGTGTCCTTCCTGTGCAGATCCAAGGCGGAGATGGGCCACACGTGCCGCGGCACCATCAACTTGGCCACGGCCAACATCAGCGTGGAGGATTCCTGCAATTTCATCATTTCCAACGGCGGAGCCCAGACCTACCACCTCAAGGCCAGCTCCGAGGTGGAGCGGCAGCGCTGGGTCACCGCCCTCGAGCTCGCCAAGGCCAAGGCTGTCAAGATGCTGGAGGAGTCAGGTACGGAATTCCTGGATCCATGGCGGGGTCATGGTGCACTCAGGGTGAAACCCCAGTGCCTGACAGTGCCCAGGGTAGGATCAGTGTCCTCAGAGTGGTATCCCAGTGCCAGGTTCCCAGAGCCTCACAGGTGGCAAGAATCCCAGGGCAGGATCCCAGTGCTTGGAGGACTTGGGACAGGATATTAGTGTTCCACAGGATCCCAGTGTCCCCAGGGCAGAATCCCAGTGCCTCACAGGACCGAGGGCAGGATCCCAATGCCCAGAGAGTAGAATCTCAGTCCCACAGGGCACAGGATCCCAGTGACCCCAGGGCAAGATCGCAGGGCAGCATCAATGTCCTTAGGGCAGCCTTTCAGTTCCTCACAAACCCAGTGCCCCTAGGGCAGGATCCCAGTGCCCCACAGGACCTAGGGCAGGATCCCAGGGCCCTGGGCAGCATCCCAGCATCTCCAGCAAGATGATTTGGAAGGGGTTGGCCGTGTCCATGCATGTGTGACCCAAACAGCCTGGCATGCAGAGAGGTGGACCATCAGCCCTCAGGGGATTGGGGATCCCCCTGTGCCCTTCCTGGCAGCCCCACCACCAGCTCCTGGTGTGAAATGACAATCCCACATCCCTTCCCGCCTGCAGACGACTCCGGCGACGAGTCGGTGTCGCAGACGGACAAGACGGAGCTGCAGAACACCCTGCGGATTTTATCCAGCAAGGTGGAGGACCTGAGCACCTGCAACGACCTGATTGCCAAGCACGGCACAGCCCTGCAGCGCTCCCTTAGCGAGCTCGAGGCCCTGCGGCTCCCCCCAGAGAGCACGGACAAGATCAAGCAGGTCAACGAGCGGGCCACGCTCTTCCGCATCACCTCCAACGCCATGATCAACGTGAGTCCCCATCCCGAGGATCCCACAGTGGGAAAAGCCCCCACTTCCATGCTGAGCGCCGTTTCCCCACAGGCCTGCCGGGATTTCATGCTCCTGGCACAAACTCACGGGAAGAAGTGGCAGAAGTCACTGCAGCAGGAGCGGGATCAGCGGATCCGGCTGGAGGAGACGCTGGAGCAGCTGGCCAAGCAGCACAACCACCTGGAAAGGGCTTTCCGGGGGGCCACGGTGCTCCCCGCCAGCACGCCCGGCACTGCAGGCTCTGGCAAAGGTGGGGAGGGACAAGCACTGTGCCCAAGTGTCCCCCAGATGCTTCCTGGGATTTTCCAAGCCAGGCTGAGCTTCTCTCGCTGTGCTGATCCCAAAGGATGTGTCTGTCCCAGCTCATCTGTGTAGCCAAGTGATTCTGGCATCCCCAACAGGGTCCAAACTGGCTCCTCTGAGCTTTATCCGACACCCCTCAGGGCTGGGGTAGGGATGATGGTGATGGGGGAGCTTTCAGCAGGAAACTGGGAATGATGTTCCTTCCTCACCAACCGTGTCCCCTTTCCCAGATCTGTGCTGCCCTGCCAAAGGCGACCTGAGTGACGAGGACGATGACAACAACGAGTTCTTTGACGCCCCGGAGATCTTCCCCATGCCCGACGTCATGGGCCACAAGTGAGTTTTGGGGGAGAGGGGAGTCCCCTCGCTGCTCTGCCCTGCTCGGGAATGTTCACCCCCTTTCCCCCCTTCCCAGGAGAACTGGGAGCAACATCAGCGGCACCAGCAGTGACATCAGCCTGGACGAGCAGGTGGGATGGGGTTTTATGGCTTTGGGGTGCCCAAATGCCCATGGAAGGGTTTTGTAGGGATATAGCAGCCTTTGCCTCCCCTCTCCCTAGTACAAGCACCAGGTTGAGGACACCAAGAAGGAAAAGAGAACCCGCATTCCCTACAAACCCAACTACAGCCTCAACCTCTGGAGCATCATGAAGAACTGCATTGGGAAGGAGCTGTCCAAGATTCCCATGCCAGTGAGCACAGATGCAGCCGGTGGGTGGGCACAGGGCACCCCGGAACCCCCTTTTTTCTGACCCTTTCCCTCTTCCAGGTGAATTTCAACGAGCCGCTGTCCATGCTGCAGCGGCTGACGGAGGACCTGGAATACCACGAGCTGCTGGATCGGGCGGCGCGGTGCGAGAGCTCCCTGGAGCAGCTGTGCTACGTGGCTGCTTTCACCGTGTCCTCCTACTCCACCACCGTCTTCCGCACCAGCAAACCCTTCA